ACCCCCCCCCCCCCCCCCCCCGCGATGAGGGTCGCGTGTCTATGTGCAGGATGAAAACAATCCCACACTGATAGATTCCCGAAATTTTCGGAAACCATTGTGCAGGTTATTAATATCCTCTACAACCAGCTACTTGTATATAAGCCACGTCTGATCGCCTCCCCTTTTCATTACCAGTCGGGGTGATGGCGCCGTCGCATCTAGAGCTCGTCCCGACCAAGTTTAGTACCCGCCGGCGCCGCCCGAAGTCGAAGCTCGGGTGCTCGACGTGTTTACGGCGGAAGATAAAGTGCGACGAGCACTTCCCTCATTGCCACAACTGTACGAAACGGAAGCGGTACTGTGGCTACCGTGGTATCCAAGAACAGGCGAATAAAGATATATTTAGTCTGATCTCCGAAGACGACTTTAACGAGGCGTGTAAATGGGTCATGGACTTTACTTCCAAGACTTGTACTGATTTCGCCAGTGACACCTCTAGTTCGCCGACTAGTCCTACTTATACGATGCCTGAGTCTAGTCCTACTTATACTTCGAGTGGTACTCCCACTACCATGGAAACCCCGGCGACATGCCCTTTGGAAATTGAACAATGGGACGTAGACTGGTGCTACGTGACCCAATTAACCCAAAAACAATAAATAGCAGCCATTTAGTGAATATCATCTTTATTCTATCATCAAACGTCTATCCCATGCTCTAGTGTTTTGATTTGGTTAGTCTAGGTGAATATCGGAATACACGTGGGTTTCCAGTTGGCGTCCCACTTGCGTTTGCTCTCGGCGATCGCCCCCAGCTTGATGTCGTGGTATAATTGGTCGTCCGTCAATGCTCGAGCTAACGCCAGGTGCATTGCCTGGGGCAGCGTCACCAACCCGTTCTTCTCGTGGATGACAAGCTCAGAAATCGCGGGGAAATCCACCGACACCACAGGTACACCGCCGCCAAACATATCGAGGATCTTCATCGGCAAATCGACCCCGCTCAGCGATGTGTGGAGGGATACCCCTAAATCGGCACTGGCGATCATTAACGGGTAGTCCTCGGCCTGGAGCCACACCAGCGTCACCACGAGCCGTTTCGGGTCGAACTTCAGGTCGCGTACTCTCAGTAAGAACTGCTGTTTCAAGGGACCTTTACCGGTAACCACCACCACCAACGGGCCGATATCTTCGGGTAATTTCTCAAGGGCATCAAGCAACACATTGAAATCTTCATCAGGGGTGAACGACGTCAGCAGCACCACCAACTTGCTGTTTTCGGGAGCGTCGATGCGGTATTTCTCAAAGAGTTTAGCCCGCGTCGCCTTAGGGTCCTCTAACGGGTTAATCTGTTCCGCGGGGCGATCGTAAACCACATGGATCCGATTCTTGGGTATTTGAAAGTCGTCTATAAGCACTCTCTTCATCAGTTTTGTCACGCACAAGTGTAAATCACTCTGTTTGGCCACCACCCATTTTTCGTACAATTTAAGCAACTTCACCGCCCAGTGCTGGTCGTTTTGGTACCTTAAGTTGAGGATAGACCAATTTAAGTTGTGCCAGTCAATGACAAGCTTGGCATTACGGTTCAACAACTTGATATACGCCACCACCAATAACACCAACGGTATCAGCGGCGGGTTCTGAATGAGGTAGTAATCCAGGTCGCCTAGCTCAAGCAACATCTTGAAGAGGCGCACCAGCTGTAGCACAAGCTTTTCTGCCGCAAACAAAGCGAAGGGGAGCCCGTGGACGTTGCGTATGGGCATGATCTCATGGACGTCGATGTAGGGATCGTCCAAGACAAACTCAAACGGTTCCAGCTCGACGTAGCCACACAAGTTGACGAAATGGCCCAACTTGCTCAAACTGCGGGCGTGGTAGCACATTCTAGGCAGGTGGCCCAAGTCGCCGAGCACCATCACCGACACCGTCGGACGCGACTTGTGGACCTTTTTCGTGGCGAAAAACGGGAGCACCACGTAGGCAAGCACCGGGAGCAGGCAGTAGAACCCGACAAAGTACCACACATGCGCCCAGATCCACCGGAACACGGGGTTGTCGAGCACATACATGGCGGACGCGTTTGCCACGGGAGCTCGCGCGCCAGCAAAACATCCGAGCAGCAACAATCCGGGCGAAAGTGGTCGAGAGGATAAATGACCTTAAATGGTGTGGTTAGTGATTGATTGGAGTTTATGGTGACTTTTTTTGATAATGTGAGCAATTTATCCGGTTTGAATTATGTGTTTCAGTCTTCGTTGTGGCATGCTTTACTCCAGATATGGCGGTATCGACACTAATGATTTGTGGAGTGGGTCTGGCGGCAAAGACAGATTATCAAAGCTGGCGGGTCTGGAATCTTTTACCTTCAATTGCAAGTGGTTTTGGAGCTTCAGGGATGTGATCGGGGGCTTATTGAGAGATTTGATTACTGAAGGTAATTTCCAACTGTAATGACCAACCAAACTCTTCCAACTGTCATGATATTTCATTGTTATGACTATTGTTTAATCAGGTTTCATCTCCGACTAATATTCAATCCACTTGATTTGGCGATTAGTACTTTTCCAATATCAAAACGTTTTGAGAGCCATCTCAATGACAAATTGGAACTGTGAGCATATTTGTTATTTAAAGGTTATCATATGGGCTTGAGGTGGAATTACATCTAGTGGTTCGACGGCAAACTCATGAGCTGGTGATGATTTCAGTACCGTTGATAAGTGGAATACAATGATAATCGGTGATGGTTCTGATTCAAAGTCCTAGAACTATTCGACTTACGACTCATAACAATTCATTGAATACATAATGGGATCAGGATCAGGCTTAACCAAGTTTAGGCCGTGTCGGTTGCCTCTTCGTCGTCAACATGAGGGTGGTAGTAATTGCAGTCACCGCTAAGGATGTGGTCCACCCACTCGGTACCCGTCGCCTTAAACCCACAAAGGCATTCGCCCAGGGACACATCCATCACTGCCACTTCTTCGTCGTGCTGCATTCTTTCGTCAAAGTGAAAGTGAGAGTACAAGTGCTTTCTGAAGGTGTCGAATCCGTCGAACTCTTGGGTTTGGTGGCAGGTGGTCCAGCCACAAAACATCGGCTTGGAAACGATCCAGAGCACATCGGTGTGGATGGTGACGTTCATGTTCATTGTGTTGACAGTGGTATGAACTACCGAGAAAAATATTTGTTACCCTTAAGTTTCATTACCAAGAGCAAGCATATAGTGATTTGAAGGAAACTTGAATGAAATGACACCATTTTTGAACCTCAGGTTTCACCCCTATTTTCGACTTCAAACGAACAGATAAAAAAGTTTTTCGAAATGCACGTCAATTGGTTGGCAATTTGAAGTTAGTATAGGTTTTGTTTCATGGTAGTTCTGGAAAATTTACGATATGAGATTAGACACTTTGGAAGACAGATACGGAAATAAACATCGGACAAACGTATACCACTACCGTACACAGTGTAGACATAAAAATAGGGTCCAGGGGAAGTAGTAGTCACTCAACAGTTTGGACAAGAAATACTCAAGGAAGCAGGTTTGTGGTGCTCGCCACTATCTTCATTATACTCGCCATTATCTTAGTCACCCTACCGAAACTTCAAAAGTTATGATAAATGTATTAGTGTATAATTACTTTCTGGTGGCACAGCCATAGTGGACCACTTCGTCGTCTTTTATTGCCGCCACACTGAGGCCCAATTTCTTATGGCAGATGGCACACTCGGTGCCCAGTTCAACAACGTACCCTTTGCTCTTTTCTTTTGTGAGCTTGGTGTCGACGTGATGTGATCCCACTTGATACAAGTTCGCCGCCACGGCCGTCTGACTGAGCTCTTGGCGTGATTGACGGTATACTCCTTGTAAATACCCATAAAGTGGCGCTAACGGGAACAGTTGCGGTAGAGAAATGAGCACTCTAAGCACGTCCATTTTCCCGCCATGGGTATCGAGAAGCTGAGCCACTGCGTCGATGGTCTCGTCATCGTTGGAGATGACATCGTCCAACACTTTGTGGAGCAACTCCTTTGTGGTTTCCGGTTCCTTGGTGTATAAATCGCCGCAGTAGTCCAGCACTGCCTCCAAGTCGTGTAGGCGGTGATAGAGCACCTCCACCGCCTTGGTGTGGTCGCCGAGCTTGCGGTAGACAAACACGGCAAACCTCTGGAACCAGTCGTCGTCGGGTATGGCTTTAAGCACCTTATAGGGCTCGTAGTTATCGTGGTGATCAAGGTACCGGTAAAGCTTGAGGTAGAAGGGAGAACACTCAAAGTTCTTGAGGTCCATCTCCGTACGAGCAGATTTCAATTTACCCAAATAAAGCCACACCAACTGCGTGTGTAAGCGGCTTGCCAGAGAGGCTCCAGGACGAGGCAGGTCAAGTAGGATCCACTCGAGGTAGTCGATGGCACAGTCGTCACTTTTCACCACTGTGAGCAAATAGTCAAGCACTTTCAAGGGCTCGTAGCTGTCACAGGCACTAGTGTGGTTCATGAAGATCTGGCGAGCGTATTCCTCTCGCTCCAGCTGGCCGGCCACTTCCAGCTCACCGCTAGCCTCAGTGAGGACCCAGTAAGCGAATTTGAATACAATTTCCAAATGGGAGTTGTCGAGTCTTTGAAGGTAGTTGATGGTGACTTCGGGAGATAACCCCCGGTCATGGCTCAATTGATGGAGCATTTCAAGCACTTCTCGATGCTTCCCCCGTGTAAAGTAAAAGTCTAGTGTCTCAGCCAAGTGAGTGGAAGGGTCCAATAACTCCCCAACCACTGAGGACCGTGCCTGGTTATTAGCTAGCCGAAGAAACGGACCTAATAAGATGGGGCGGGTGTAGTAGTAGCAGAGAAAAAGCAGGGTATCAACATTGGCCGCCACTTGTTCAAACGTGGGAGTCGTAGTAGCACCAATACCGAAGATCTCGTCAAACAGCACCTGGTGGTGTTTCCACTCCACGGAGTTGTTGCTGGCGAAGTTGGCAAGGATACGTCTCATTTCCGTCAAGTAGCCCACTAATCCAGTAACTGCAGTGACGAAGGGAGCCACTTTGCGTGATTCCGTCAGTTTTAGTGATCTCACGGAATTAGCCGGTGTGGGAGCCTGGCTGACAAAATCTGCAAGCAGTTCGGGGGTTAGCAGATTGAACAGCAGTTGTTTTACCGCAAACTGGTTCGGCAGCGATGATGGTAATGGTTTAGCGTCGGGGTCAGCTAAGAATTTGGGGAATAATTGAATTACCGCTGAGTACGGTAAAAGCCACTCCCGACAAACCGCTAACGCTTCCTTATAGTTATGGCGCTGCCATAGATCCATTGCTTTCCGCCAGTAGAGCTGACGTAAGCGATCACGGTCAGATTGGTCGTCAATAGCATTAGCTTCAAAGTAAGCGATAGCATGGTTGACTCCACCGGGAATTTGCGAAGAAACTAACAGACGACACACATGGACACGGTCATTAATGCGGAGGGTCATAACCTCTGAGTTTCCAGCTAAAACAGTCGAATTAGCCGTGGGTTTCAGCGATAGTTTTTGCGGTAGCAGTTGCATGAGGGTAGCGGTAGCCAAATTGACAATTTCAACTTTATTTTGAGTCACAGCAATTAGAAGACCCGGGAGAAATGTCACGGTTGACGGGGTGTGGCTCAATTTCATGTGGTAGCGCACCTGGCGATCAGCATTGATTTGGAGGACATTAGAGCCCTTAACCACATAAACATAGTTGTCGTACCTCTGTTTCGGAGATATCCACACTTCGGGACCCAGTCGCCGAAAGTATGAGCGTGACAGAGCCTGGGGGAGGCGTGGTTGGGGTAGTATTTCCACTTCCAAGTGGTTTTCCGAAGAGTGGGTGGCTATAGCCAACAGATCAGCCAAAGCCACAAAGAGTAACCCCGGCCCGATCCACTGCATTGCTTTGATTCGTTCTTTGGACGTCCACAGCGCCTGGGACGTGAGTAATAGCACGTTTCGGGATTTGTGTCCTACCTTAAATAACTCGATTCCCAGCTTCGGATGATCAACCGCGAGCGTATAGGTATCTTTATCAAACGTAGAGGCCACTCCACCGTCGTCAATGGCCGCCATACAGTTGAATTGGGTGCCCACTAGCTCCACAAGCAAAAGACGGTTATCGGCAGTTACCACGCCCACCACCGTCTTTTTCGGGGATATGTCGTCGCCAAACGGCTCGGGAACCACCTCCATCACTTTCGCCACCGCCAGGTGGTCGCCAGTGACGTTTTTGTGGATGATACAGGCGTTTCGGGACTGTGCTGGTTCTGCCGGTTGCGGGGGCTGGAACACGCCAACGTCGCCGTTATCGAGTCCGGCCACCACGTAGGGGCCCATGGGCGCCACCAGGGTTATTCGTCGAGCGTGGTCCGGCACGCTGGCCCGCCAATGGGGTGCCACCACCTCGACATTCATGGCGTGGTCAACGGCAGTGGCGCGCTTACTCGTGATATTCGCACTTGCGCCACCAGCGGGAATCGAACTTGGACATAAAGTGGCCATGTATGGAAATCGTATAGGAGACTAGAATCAACTGACAGAACGATATTAGTGTTTGCTTCCATCATTTTGAAAGCATATTGAATCGAGATCCTATTCTTCGTAGCTAGGGGCTGCTGGTTAATTGGTTGACTGAACCACTACGTTCCCACTAGTTCTATGACCTAAGCCAATACTCTATTACTTCGTCCTCCAGTGGCGAAAGATCATACGAACACTTTGAATATCCCCAAGCATAAGTATATTTCTAGAGTAGGTTCCAATGTAAAACCAAAATTTAAAGAAAAGTCGTAATTATGAAGATTTGTCCACATTTACATACTTTTTCCAAAACTCAACATAAAGTCATGAAAGTGCAATCATCACACTCCACTGGATTATAGCCTTTACTAAAACACCAAATATTTCTGTATATTACCTACTTCTCCGTGGTCCGTTTCTTGGTCTTCTTAACCGGTTTCGTCTCCTCCACTAAGGGACCCCAATACACAAAGAACCCCTCTTTAGTCGTCGAGATATCCTCGACAATCTGGAGTTCTTCATCGTCAATGAACGGGTCCTCGTAGTCGTATTTACCCACCCGCTTATTCATCCGCACCTGGTGGCGGTGAGCCAATTGCTCCTCGGTCAATTCTTCTTCTTCCGCGCCTTTCTTCGCCGCCAGCAGCAGCAGCAGCTGTTTCAGCTGGGGCATGACGATGATCTCAATGTCGTCATCGTCAGCGTTATCGTCATCGTCTTCCTCAAGCATATCGTTCATGAGTTCCGTCGACAGTTTCGCGTTTGGGTGGATGGCGTCGAACCCGTATTTCTCCTCGCTGAGCTTGAGCACGTTCACCACCACCTCTGCCTGTCCTGGTTTCGGATTATTTGGATCCAATAACGGAATATTTAAAGCAATTATCGGTAACGGTTTTGGCTTATCGCGACTTTCACGATTATACAAATCGTCAATCAAATCACGTACCGGCTCTTTATCCTTTGCTGGAGCCGGCGGCGGGGTTGGTTTTGCTACCTCTTCTTCCTGAGGCTCATCATTGAGTAAATTGAGAATTGACAGCGCTGGCGTCTTGGTTTCGGTGGTATTTTTATTCTTCTCCGTGGTCGACCCCAGAGTGATCACTTTCGGGTCGGGCGCGGCGACGGCCGGATTGACTTCCGGGGTCGCCTTTTTCGTCTTGGTCTTCTTCGCCGGTTTTTCCCCAGTGGTGGCCTTAGCGCCATCAGCAGCAGCGGCGGCGGTGCGCTTCTTCACCGGCGCCTTGCGCTGCCGCTTTACTGGCGCCTTCGCCGGCGCCAGCGCCAGCGCCAGCGCCGCGTCCGCCGGCGGCTCTTCATTGTTTATAAGCAGATTGATCAGCGACCGCGCCGGCGGCTTTGCTGTGGAAGCCAGCACAACCGGGGTGGGCGATGTCAGGCTCAGCTTGGCATCACCAAAGTCCAAATGGGTCTGGAACTTTTTCATGTGCTCTTGTAGCGAAGCCAGCGGCGCCGGTGCTTTAGTAGTAGTGGCGCTCGAGGCAGCGCCAGCAGCAGCGCCCGTCGCCGCCAGCGGCGCTGGCAGCGCTGGTGTCAGCGCCTTAGCGTCGCCAGTATCAAACACCGGAGTCCGGAATTGCGACATCGCCTCGGCAAGCTTGGGGTTGGCGGCGGAGTCGCCGCCATCAATGATCGACTGGATATTGAAATTGCGGCTCATCCGTGGGGAGAGGGACTGTCGTGGGAGAGGGGCTCTAACAGTAAGCGCGCACCGATCGCGCACTAACCGATGATGGTCTAGCGAAAGGAGAATCAGCAGTGTATAGTTCCCGGAAGAATATTGCGTTTTGTTAGTAGAGGTTTGCATTACTACTTTGCAAGTTGTGTTTAAAATGTTGTTTTAACAGAATGAAGATCACGAAATTGGTAGCCCTGAACCTATCACTAGAATCAGAAGGGAGGTAGATGAAGAGTCTACATTAATACAAAAGAGTCCAAAAATAAAATAATTGTTTGTAATGGAAGCAATGACTTGCCACAAAATTTTGTTGAAAGTAATTTGATAGAAGTTGATGCCATGGTATATAGGTATTTTTTCGATCAAATCAGTAGAACCAAGATCGAGGGGGACCACTTTTGATAAATCTATGGGATTTGGAAATTGTGATTTACAAGCTCAGGTTAATTCAATAAAGCTAAATTCGACATTTGCTCCATTTCAATTGACTCAATTATATAATACTCCTTCCTTTTGTCATTTGTTAGGGCTGGTGCGGTGTGTCCGGGTAACTCCTCACAGTCTCACACCTCGCCATCAAAAAGGCGGCGCGACACGATTTTTTTATTCACCCCGATGATGATGTCTAAATCGTTACCAAATGTTACGAGCAACGCTCACGCCGGGTCGTCTTGACCCGGCGGTTGCGATGATTTGGTTATTGTCATAGTTACACTGAGGGGACAAACAAACCAAGCGTGTGGAGTTGAAGCGCGATGAGATGAGGGTGAAGGGCCAACTCTCACTCGATTGACTGCCTCGCGTTACTATCACCAATTCCACCGATGAATATCGGTTTATCATTCTCTCAAACTCTCCCACTTTGAATTGAAGTGTGATATCCTCAAACCACGCTATCACTGTCGATGAATCGCATTCTACCACGGTTTATGGTAATGTTTGTCATCACAAACTCATTCAACTTATTGCTGTGCAAACGTAATTGTTGTGTTTCATCGTTTCGATGTGAAACCTATCGAGTTTACTTCAATACCATCACCAGCCACACCGACTACGCACTTAACTCTGACCCAGTTCGAGGTTATCTCGTTTGGTTCTAGCATTAATGAAGCTGTAAACTTCACCAGCTCTCATTGTCGTTAATTGGTGCTGGCAACACTTAACGATAGTCACATAACTATCATTTCCACAGACTCTTCTCTCGTCGATATGTATAGGGTGAAGTATTGCCAGTTGCGTCGACAACATCTACAAACTGGTAATATGCTTCAGGTACTCGTGATGTGTTATCATCATTTGAGCCGCAAACACCAGTAGTCAATCTAATTTCATTCCTTAACATCGCGAGGATGTTAGTCTCCCTATCAAGGTGAAGACTTTACAGCTCCTATCGAGGTAAAGAGGTTAGTTTCCGGTCAGTTGTTTATAATCGTATATTATGTCCTGCTTCCATTAACTACACCATCTATTCGTCGTCGACAACGACGGTGTGCAAACCCTTGGTCAGGGGCACGTTGACGGGTTCGACGTAGGCGAACAACTTTTCCTTGGCGTTTTCCTCGTCGTTTCTCTTTCTCGAGATTCTCAATCTCATTCTGTGGGGGACACCTTGGACACCTCTCGACCAGAGGGCGACGTTGAGGCGGGGGTCCAAGCGGACGTCGGTGGTCTTCATGTGCAAGGTGGCGAACTTCTTGATCGCCTTGACAGCGGTGGGCGCTCTCTTCTTGAAGTGGGCGCCGTGAAGTCTCTTGTGGAGGTTGATGGTGTACTCACGGGTGACAACGTCGGTCAAAGCCATCTTGGGTTCGGTATGGGTGCAGGGCAGGCGAAATGAGTTTTTTTTCACTAACGGCTAATCGATGGCCAGCGTGCGCCCACCGCGTGATATGCGTCACGTGAATAGGGCACCAACCCTAACGACCACAGACTATTAACATCTCCCACCAATGCCACTAACTTGTAGTATCAACGGTAATAGTAACAATCTTTGAATACTTCATCGACATCATATTAGTCTTTAGTTTAGTCTCTACTCCTGCCAAAATGACATATCTGTCTACCTTCCAGTGCGCACTTACCAACCAAGGCCCTATGACTACGACTGGTACCACCACTAGGCACTGAATAAGATATTGACCAGAGACAACCCTCTTTATAAATACCATAGACTGCATTGTAGTCTCTAGTCTAGTCTTAATCACCGTCAACTGGTAATATCTATCTACCTTCCAGTGCGCACTCACTCACATGAACCTTTACGACCACCACCACCACTACCAAAATCGTCACAATCGTACTTGTCATAATCGTCATTTATTCATTTCATACAACATAGCTACCTAACTAAGGTCATAAAAAGCGTAAAAGTCATAATCGTCCTTAAATTCTCTTTTTTTTTGGGTTTTGCATTTTTCTGTTAGAATATCATAATCGTCATTGAAGTGTCCATTTTTTTTGTAGAGTTTTTGTAGTGTTTGTCGGAACGTCATTGCAAATGTCTCTGTAGCGTGTTTGCAGCGTCAAAACATACACACGGGGTCGGTGGGTCCACAGAGTGCCACACGATGCCACACCGGTGTGTTGACTCCATTGACCACACCCCACCCCGCGGGAGGCTCCCAGCTAAGGAAATATTCAATGGGCGAGAAACCTGAAGAAGACGACCACGAAATCGTACTACTTATATAGCTTACGAAGGATGCACTGGTGGAGTAGCCCTGGGAGCATCCCGTCCCCGATTAAGCCCAGGGCAACGCCGGCTCAGGAGAGTCTCATGCTCATGCTGCATCCATAAATGTACGTGGTGATCCCGCCCCCGCTCAGACGCGAGGTTCCTTTTCTAGCCTTGTCCCGGGGCGAGTAACCGTGAGACAGCTACAAACCATCCCACACCAACAACCACTCCAAACAAATCGACCACTGCTGTTAGAAAAATTGTATAATTTCCAATTACCTTAAATGGAGCTAGTACTCTAAGATAATCACACTCAGTTTCATACTCGATTATTTCTCGCATTATGGTAGTGAGGACGACACCCGTATTAATTTCGCAGAGGCCTGACTAAGAAAAAATATATTGCGGCAGGGTGACTACGGGGGTGGCTCTCCACCACGTAAAGCAACCTCTCGCCTGCAGCTGAAACTGATAACGATCCCAGCGAGGATGATACCCTAGGAACTCATTGGCTTGATGTACTGGGATCTTCGGTAGCATTGTCCCTGCTCCCATTGGTTGTTGTCAGGTGAGGGCTCTCAAGGACAACCGGGCTAGGCGACGGCCGATTGCAAGGACAACCATCGCTACGCATCCTCACACGATGCCACTCTGCACCCTGCACACACTTCCAAGAATAGGGGTCTGGGAAAGCCCTCCAGGCATTGTTTAGTGACCGTAGTAATGGGTGAGGTTGCGGGGCCAGTGGGCGGTGACTGCCTCCACGAGCCCGTCGACATCGGCGTTAACGTGTTTCAGAGGCAACTGGTCGAGGTCATCGACGCCGATTTCGCCCAATGTGACCAATGTCCACACCGCGAGGAGCCGTTCTAGCACAGGGGCCACCGTCGCCGCCAGCGACGCAATGGCAGCGATATCGGCAAATGTACCGTTATACTCGCCCGTACGCTGCATCACGTACCCCCACAGATCAGTAGTAGTTTTCTCTAGCCTTTGGTAGTCGTCAGAAGAGGTATCTCCTCCGACCAACGCCGTGATGATCATCGTCACCAACCGCAAGTTGCTGGCGTAGTCACCGTACCCAGCATGGTTCTGAGCTTGTTCCAGCGTCAGTGTGGCCATGTTGAGCACCACCAACCACTGGTGGCTGGCCACTAACGCCGCCAACACCTCATACAGCGCCACCATCAATTGGCGCCGAGTGCCGCCGCCAGACGTCGATTTTAGACGCGTTTGATAAACCAACTTGTAGATCTCGTTGATAACGGTTACCAGCGGCTTCAATTTGAGCCGGAGAAGGAGCACAAGAAGCAGTAGCGGGATCATGGGGTTGTTGCGGGGTAACGGGTAAACTGCGGCCTGTGGAGCATCATTTTCAAGAAGAAATAGATGGTTATTGAGGGCGACGGCTTCCTGACGAGCCTGATTCATCAGATAGAACATAAGCAACGTGAGGCGGGCCTCCCAGAGCTTGAGTTTGTCTTCGTCGGAGTACCCGTCCAGCTGGAGGAGGCCGCGGACTTTGTCGGCAGCATCACGGTAATTGAGGGCGTGGATATCGTCAATGACGACCAGTACATCAGTAGTAAGCCTGGTGGTCGCTGGGGGGTGGCTAAAGAGCCGGGGAGACCCTAGATCCATGGCGCGACCGAGAAACGACCAGTGGAGATAACTCCGGTGACAACTACTCCGAAAAATTATGGAAACTTGAAGTTTCAAAATTAAGATCGGAAGTGATATAATATGAGTAGCAGGTTTGTTATTCGGTTTCAAATTCTGATTTGGACTAAGGTTGATGACGTTATTGAGGAAAGATCTACGAACAGTGTACGACGTAAATATACAAATCCACATACAAAATACCTAATAGCATCAGATCACTTATCAAACGAAGTGCATGATAGCCCTGAGTAAAGTCTCTTCTACATCATTTTTTCAGTATTAATCAATTGATAGAGTCAACTATTATGAGTACACAAAAATACAGTACATCAGACTACAGATCATCAACCTCATTAATACAAAACCACAATCAAACACCAAACTCAACAATTTCAAAAATAAATCAAATTCAATACTAAATTTCAGACATAATGGCTTTGTGTCTTCACTTGGTCCATTTGGTCTGGCCGCCATTAATGACACGCGGTGCGCGCCTTCTATATACCCACAATGCTTCGGTGGCCGGTGCTTTGGCTTACACTAGTGCTAACACTAGCGTTCGAGTTCGATGTCGCCAACGACTACTCCCCCTCATCCTCCAATGCCACCATTGCTGCCTTAGAAGCTGATTCCTCGCTCTTCTGGGGGGCCTACCGACTGGGCAACTACTTCGCCACCCGGCCCAGAACCCCCTGGCTGCTCATGCTGGGCCTCATGTGGTTTAGTCTTGATGACTATGACAGCATTGGCGACATCCGCCACAGCTACGACCAAGGGGATGCCCTGATCGCCAAAGCCAACTGGATCCAGTTTGACCCTAGATTGGGCGGCCGTGAGGTTATTGTTGATAACAAGTGCCACTATACCATCCAAATCGACTTTGTCAAGTCTGACGATGGCCAATCGTGGGCGACGAAAGTGTTAGCGACTCCCCACAAGGGGTACGAGAATAATGAGATCGCGTTGGTGTGGTATCTGGGGCTTGAAGGCGAGAAAGATGAAGGGAAAACGGGTTATATTGAATTGGAAACGGTGCCTACAGATACTCACGTTGGTTTCCGGGGTATTTCGGAAGAATTGGGGATGTTCTATTTGGACGTTCACAAAAAAGGCCGTACCCCTAAAGTGAGCCAAGATTTCGGCATTGACCAGTTTATCCCTGGATTGCACCACTTATCGCTTAATGTCCCCGATGGCAGAGTGTGGCAGGCCCGCGATATCTTCGCTACTTTGGTCCAGGAGCTGGTGGAAGAGGTGGTACCGTTATTGCAAATGCAACAACAACAGGTGCGTCCTCACCAGTTATACATCATGCGCAACCTCCACCAGTACCAAGGAAACATGCACTTTGTCCAGGGGATCTACCAGGGCAAGGCAGAGATGCAAATCTTGTTCAACTCGCACTTGACTCCCGAATCGCAGCAGTTCACTACTGAAAACCTTAAGCAGCGGATCAAGGACACGTTGAAGAAAGTCGACAACAAGTACCACGAAGTGTTTAACTTAAACGCCCCGTTTACGTCTAAGGACCACCAGAAGTTTGCGCAAGAGTGTATCAGTGGTCTCATGGGTGGTCTCTCTTACTTCTATGGAGACCAGCTTGTTGACCGCGAAACTAAGCTTGATGACGTCGACGACGATGATGGTGCTGCCTTAACCCTTGACGGTAAGTTTGAAGGGCCTTATGAGTTGTTTACGCTTGTACCGCTGCGTCCGTTTTTCCCTCGTGGATTCTACTGGGACGAAGGATTCCACTTGCTCCCGCTTTTACGCTACGACCCTAAGCTCGTGATGGACATTTTGACCTCGTGGTTTGACCTTATCGACGACGACGGCTGGATTGCTCGTGAGCAGATTTTGGGCCCAGAACTGCGTAGCCGCGTACCGCCGGCGTTCCAAGTGCAGAGCCCTGAAATCGTCAACCCTCCCACGCTTATGTTGGCGTTCGTATACTTGATTGAGCAATTGGAAGCCAGTGGCCTTGAAAACAACTTGATTCAGCTTGATGAGTTCCGCCACGTGTACCCGCGGTTAAAGCAACACTTTGACTTCATCCGCACCACTCAAATTGGCATGAAGGACGAGTTTGACCGTCCGGGCCAGGGATACCGCTGGCGTGGCCGCACCGCCACCCACTGCTTGGCCAGTGGGCTTGACGACTACCCGCGCCCGCAGCCGATGGACGTGGCCGAGCTCCACGTCGATTTGCTCAGTTGGGTCGGGGTGATGGCCCGCTCGCTCAAATTGGTGGCCCACCACCTTGATATTGGCGAAGACCAACAGTATTTTGCCGATATTGAAAACCAGGTGGAGACTGATTTGGTGGCGTTACACTGGAGCGAAGACAACGGATGCTTCTGCGACGTTTCTGTCGACGAAGATGACGAAGACGAACACGTGTGCCACAAGGGGTACATCTCCATCTTCCCCTTTATCACTAAGCTCATCAAGCCCGATGACCATGCCAAGATCGAGCGGGTGATCAAGTCATTGGCGGACCCAGAAGAGCTCTGGACGCCCTACGGTATCCGCTCGCTCAGCAAGTCTGACCCGGAATACCGTACGGGGGAGAACTACTGGAAGCTGCCCATCTGGATCCAGATGAACTACTTGGTGCTCGATGCCCTCCACTACTACCACCCCCACGTCGACGGAGCGTTGAAGGATGAAGTGGCAAGAGTGTACCGGGAATTACGGGAAAATGTGGTGAACAACGTCTACGGTCAATGGAAACGACTGGGATACGTTTGGGAACAGTACGACGACGAGACGGGCCACTTCAAGGGGGCTAAGAACTTCTTGGGGTGGACGTCACTGGTGGTGATGATGATGGAAATGCCCCAACACTTAGAATGATAGACTAAATACAATGATAGATTTCTGGTATGATATTTGTAGACTCGACGATTGCTTGATAGATTGACAGTGTCAACGAACGGAGTGTGAAGCGAACTATAAGAAATCACGAATATAAGCCGAACTTTGTGGCGAGTGGAAGGAATTTTGGAGGTCTGCGAAAGATGAGAGAATAGACAATGGAACTGAGATGGCCCAAAGAATGTTCTGTATACAATGTATGTTAGGCTGCAGGCATCAATCGCTCGTCACCGTTTTGCAGCCTAAACGATTTTATACGAAGCAGAGATAAGGTGGGATCTAGTAGAGTATATTTCGGATTACGTTGGCTGTATCCTGATACTCCTTTAGGTTCCAATTGAATCCACGCTTCCTAGTCTTCGCATCAGACACATCTGGTCGTAAACTCAGCAAATTGATGGCCGCAGAACCTATTAAATCCCCTAAATATCATTGTATATTCCGGTCATTATCTGTCTAGTATAAATGTAAAACGTGAAATCTGTCCTCAGAGATGACTATCCTGGGCAAAGTGTTGTAAGAAATTGAAAAATCAGTAAAGAAAGCCATTGCGCTTTCTCTTGTCACAAGTGGCCTTGCACTTACACTTAGGCTTAGGCTTAGGGTCAGGGTTCACCGCGGGAGCATTGGGCGTGCCAGGCAAGAAACCAGCTTCAATCACCAACGAGTTGTCGTTAAAGTAGGTTTGAATGTTGGATCTGTTAGCCTCATAGGCACACTTGTCGTTCTTAGAGGTGTTTTGCCCCGAGTTGGCATTCGAGGTCGCCTTACCAACGACATTGTCGTTACCGACGGGGTCGCGAAACTCGACTCTGCCGTACTCCCAGCACGGCTTCTGGCTGTCGGAAAGCGCCTTGTCGCGGTTGTAAGAAGGGTAGTAGTCGAGGTACTGGTAGACGCCAGTGTGGAACTTGCCGTGGTTCAGAGAGGTGATGAGCGAAGTGATCTCTTCTGTGGCACCAGTCTTCTGGTTAATCAAAGTACATCTCCATCTGTGGCCGCCGTCAGAACGGTTTTCAACGTTCTCAATCTCAAACGTGTACCAGGTGTCGTAGGTATAATCGCCGCTGACCGAGCACAGCGACCCAGGGCCACCGTTAGCATTAGTGGTACACTTGCCAGAGTCGACCCGAGTGACGCCGTTGCCAAATCCAGAGAAAATAACCTTCTGAGCCAGACCTTTATCGGCAGCTGGCTGGAACCCCCAGTAGATGGTCTGGCCGTTGGCAAACTGCCATTGAGTCGCAGCGAAGTAACCAGAGTTTTTGTAGGTCTTGCTATCGAGGTAGATTTGCGACGACACCTTATCGAAGCCGCCCAGGGGCACGTTGGAGAACGAGTACCACGACCCGGGGGCAGCGGCGATGAGTTGGGCGAGCGGGAGGAGGGCAGCGAGCGACTTGAACAACATGCTAGGTAGTTCTGATGGAAACGTGACGAGATTGGGCGTATATATAGCATTTCGAAATGAACCCTATTTCAGTCGATGGGCACCTTGTTTTCTGTTTTCCCACCCCGCATCAGGCCCTGCGCGTCCACTTTAGCGATACGCCGTCAGTAAGGTACCGCGTGGTTTGGGATGCGCCATGGTATGGCAAAAACTTGAGGAAAATGTCAATACCAAAACCATGAAACATGATAGTGTCAGTGACTCATCAATGAAAACACATCCGACTCTTCAATCAGGTGGTGGCCTTGTTCCTTGAGTCAAACACTTCATCATAATAGTATAATCTGCGCGCGAGACGACCCGGCAACTGCGCGCCCACAGCTCTTCCGAAAACATCGTGCCTTGCGCTAAATTGGTCTAAACCAAACATAGGCAACAAACACTCGAACTAAGGGAAACACAGACTTGAATTCACAAATGCTTGTTAGTGAGTTAGAATATTATATTCATCATTGATTCATGAAAGGATTGTGTCCGGTTTCTCGTCTTTTGGGGACAAAATGCACGCGGGATCCCGACGAAGATCAGCCTAGCCACAAATAGTTGAAAGCCAGGCGGGACCTCACGCAAATTAAAGGTACAACAAACAGACCCAAACCCGTATATTCTGTAGCCGCAAACGGCCGCAATCGGACGAAACACGCCCCAGCCTGCCTCAACGAAGCCTAATAAGTCTGGGGAAGATGGTTTCCGGCGTATTTGCTTAGGGGTCGTTTCGGTTAAATTAGGTGAAAGTCCTGAGATTGGAGTGAATCGCTAAACTTGGCGTACACTCAAGATTTTGAAGAAGTGTCAATCAGATATTTACAGGCATCGACATTACATATAGTGAAATTTCAGGTCCAGTTTGTGGTCGCGGGGTCGATGGAGCTAAAGACTGTGTTTGTGGTAGATACACTAGCGCTTAGTGTTAAAGTGAGACTGGATTGTGCGAGATTACGAAATTGACCAAATACGTCCAAAAAGTCACGTGCGCAAAAATGGTCGCGAAATTGGCCAGCATGGGCTGGTGTGATGAGGAGAAAAAAGAAAATAGGGGACAAACAGGGATTGTATACAAGCGCACAAAAAGCATCGCCAGATTTGGATTTATACCTGCGTTAGTACTCACGGAAGTAGTGGATTTGCAACCATTTTCCTTATAAAATTACATCAATGGCACAGTAACCACAAACCTATAGCACGCTAGTTCAGTGTGCAGTAGAACGACTGGCTTCGCCTCGTCACATTGACTCCGCCGTGCCTCGGTCGCGTCGTGAAATAGGGGGCAACCGCGCCTCTCCGTGCTCGGCAATCGCCAACGACAGAGATATGATGAGATAACTCAAAGACAACCCCCCCTAAATCTCCACGCCAATCTGCTGGTGGTATACCTCTTCGATCTCATCTAAACTTACTCAATTTTGATCGCGATTCCTCCGCCTTCGCTTCGCTTCCTCATCGCGGAGTTCCTCGGTCACACGCCGTAATGTTTTTCTGAGGGCGCGCTCCATGGCGGCATAAGCTCATTTCTCTGCCACCAAATCGGACCATCTTCTTTCACCATGTCCAACGCCACCGCCGTGTTGAACGACGTGTACCGAGTGATGGAGCTGCCGGTGTTCACGGAAAAGGTCGTGCTCACCCCCAGGCCCGACCTCATCCCGGGGATCCCCGACTACTTCGTCGCCCTCTTCTCCCCCATCGTCGCCTACTGGGTCTACGCCCTGATATTCCACGTCGTCGACGTCTACGAGCTTGCCGAGAAGTACCGTATCCACCCGCTGGAGGAAGAGGAACGCCGCAATAAGGTCACCCTCCGCGAAGTGGTCAAGGACGTGTTGTTGCAGCACTTTATCCAGACGTTTGTGGGGGTGGTGGTGTACTTCTTTGAGCCACCCAAGACCACTGGCCACGAGCTCGAGCTCATGTGGCAGTTGCGCCACCAGCTCCCGCTGCTGGTGCCGCTGTGGGCGATCTACTATGGGTACTACTACGCGTGGCCGGTGATCAAGTTCCTCTTGGGGATCACCGTCATCGACACCTGGCAGTACATGTGGCACCGGTTGATGCACGAGAACAAGGCGTTGTACCGGCGGTTCCACCTGCGGCACCACCGGCTCTACGTCCCCTACGCCTACGGGGCGCTTTACAACGACCCCTTTGAAGGGTTTTTGCTCGACACTTTGGGGGCGGGGGTGGCCCAGTTCTTGGTGCAGTTAACTCCCCGCGAGTGCATTTTCTTGTTCTGCTTTTCGACGTTGAAGACCGTCGACGACCACCTGGGGTACCGGTTGCCCAACGACCCGTTCCAGATGCTCTTCCCCAACAACACCGTGTACCACGACATCCACCACCAGCAGTGGGGAATCAAGAACAACTTCTCCCAGCCGTTCTTCGTCTTCTGGGACAAGTTGTTCAACACCGACTACAAGTTCATCGACGAGTACAAGCACCAGCAGAACCAAATCACCCTCGCCAAGTACAAGGAGTTCTTGGCCAAGAAGGACCGGTCCAAGAAAAAGACCGAATAATGATCATCACGAGCACGTTAATAGTAATCCCCAACAATTATTCTACAATTTTCGACATCACCTTCCCCAGTATCCTTCTCTCTCACCATCCTCTATTTAGACCACCACTTAGTTTTCAGCGCGCACTCGGATCGGACATGTCTCGCAAAAGTGGCCTGGGCGACGACGTGTGGCGGTCGATCGACAAGATCAACCTGGAGTTGTTTACACTTACCTACGGGCTGATCGTGCTGCAGCTATGCCGGGACTACAACCACAACTATAGCGAGGTCAACAGCCAGCTCGACAAGATGGGATACAACATCGGCGTGCGGCTTATCGAGGAGTTTTTGGCGAAAACCGGCGCCCAGCGGTGTGCCAACTTCCGGGAGACGATGGAGATGGTGCTGAAAGTCGGGTTCAAGATGTTTTTGAACATTGTGCCCCTGGTGGAGCTGTGGCTGCCCGATGGCAAACTGTGTACCCTTGTGTTGCCGGAGCCGAACCCGCTTACTGAATTTGTCGACTACCCTAGCCACGACGCTAAGATCGGTAAAGAATTGTGGTACTCGCAAATATTGTGTGGCGTGCTCCGGGGAGCGCTCCAGATGGTGCAGATGGACGTCGACGTCGCCTTCGCCAAGGACACGTTGCGGGGCGACGACCGCACCGAGATGAAGGTGAAGTTGAATAAGGTGTTGAAGGATGAGGTTCCTGCCGGCGAGGACTAAGCATGTTAATATACAATCGATTACAGGTGCTGTGGTGACGTTTCTGAACAATGTGTCATCTTCAGATCTACTGTAGTATAATCCGTTTACGTTTGGTTGAAATGATTAAGCAGTCGCTGAAATCAATTGAACTTTCTCGTTGTTAGAGACTTTACTTAATCATTGAATAGAAGTACGCAAAGGTCACAATGTCAAACTTCTTGAACACTATCAAGACGAAATTTAACAGTTAGCAGAATAATCAAAAATAGTCACTATCCAGAGAGTGGAACACTTGGTATTCGCTGGCGGTTACAAGCTCTGGTTTTATAGATAATGACACTCTCTCTTTCATCAATGGTAGTGGCAACTGATATTACACTATTGTCAATCCTCTAACCGATTGGCTGATAGTATAAATCATCTGAGCAACTGTATTAGAGCCTTACCTGACCTAAATGAATGAAAGATTGCATTTATCGATCAAACTTTCCAACATTAAATTTCAAATGAGCGGAAATCGGTCCCCAACGGCCAATTCAGTGGAACTTCTTTGAGTTTTTGACTATCTGATTGCAAATTCACGATCGGTTTTAAACCAGGAGTCTTTGCAATTGAACAGCTAATTGATAAGAGCTTTAGGGGTGGGAATACGACGTAGGAAATCATTAGAGAAAAGTCAACAACCAATCTAGGCTTATTTTTGATAATGCATCAACTTAAACTCAAGCGGTAGTCACTTCAAGTTAAAAACAACTCAACTCTGTTCTGGTTTTTGAATTTTTTAAGAGTAAGTCTTCAGACTATGGTTAAGATTCAGTCAACCGCAGTTAATTAATCGCAGCATAATCGTCACAGAATCGTCACAGAATAGTCACACTCAGCAGCCAAGGAAGAAGACTATAACTTGTACTTGTTGGTGGCACCATTATTGCTTTGTAGTAGTATACGCCTAGTATTAGCTCCTAAAACTATAATTCTCTTTGTGTACGGTACACTATAGAAGCGCGTACAGACGCGTCGGGACGCGTATAACTTAGCTCCACTAAGATCTAAAATGAACACAACCACACTACCCTCAATGATCCTGGAGCGAAGACAATCACGGAACAGACAATCCACCAATAATATCTGCCATGTTTGTCGGCGAAACATGCAACCCGAAGTCATTGAAATCTCCGATGATGATGATTCCCTGCTGGCCAGTGACTCCGAAGACCCCGTCATCATCCTCGACGAGCCATCCACAGATCTGTCTGAGGTTTCCAATTGGAACAACAACTCATGTTTCAGCGATGATTCACTGATGCTTACTCTGGTCGACATGACCGACTTGCCCACGCCGCCGCACTCAGATCCTCAAGCGATACCGATTGAACCCCCTCTGTCACCTATAAGAGGACCAGACTCAACCAATGATGAAAGTGATGACGACGAACGAGCAAGCCAATCTTCCGCCAATGGTAATAGTTCTCAATCGAAACGGCCATCGACTGATGATAACCCTCGTCCGGCGAAACGACGGGGCATTGGAAGTCGGCCCTCACCCTGGCATGGCAAAGATACCAAAGGCCTGACACCAGTCGATGAAGCCCCTGCCAATCCAGCTGACTCCGAACCAGTCTTTTGGAACGTCTACAGACATCAGGAGACTGGGGCGCTTATATGTGGCGAATGCGATAAGCACAAGCCCATGGTAGTGCTACCGAACCAGTGGAGGAACCATCTCACTCGTCACCATCCAGACATGGACCAAAATACAAAGCGTAAGCTTGGTGAAATGTTGAGAACCTACAACGTCAAGGAGTTACCCACCAACATCGACACCCAGCTTCCGATGATCCCCGTGGAGGCAAGGCGATACTGCTTCCACTGCGGTGGGGTATTCGAAAACCTAAGAGACCACACACCACATGACGAGTGCTTCACGGGATTTAATGAGCTGGTGTGGTGTCAGTTCTACCATCAAAACAAGGGCGTCATCATTGGACCCACTCCACGGCAGCCTACAGAAGCACAGTTAAGAAGGATGGCTAGGGAATTTTTGCCGCCTGCGAAAGTATATACCCGTGCCGAGTTGGAAGATTCGCGGCGACGCCAAATGGCAGAATCAATTACATTTTATCGACCCCATCCCTGGGAAATTTGTCTCTGGTGGGACGATTAATGGATCGGGATCAATTCAATGCTGAAGTGCATTGTCGTATTCCATTATTTGTTAATCGTTTCTAGGGTTGGTCGCTTACGCGTACGCACACGCGGCTTGTAATGAGCTACACATAAGCACGGCTTCAACTACAGACATACAATTTCATCACTTTGACTTGGTCTGTTTTTTTTTCAGTGACATCTGATAAATTAATACTCAAAATCTCTATGTCTGAGAGTCCTATAATTCTTTGCTGACTTTTCGTGACAACCAGGACTCGTATCAAGTTACGCTGATAACCGTTGATCTTCTAACCGAACTAACTTAAAAAACCAACCTTAAAATCGTGTACCAAAAATACCTCGCCAATTACCCATCTATTAGTCCGATTAGACCNTTTTTTTTTTTTTTGGTGGTGTCAGTTCCTTCCGTTAACCCTACTACTGCCTCGACCTTATATTTTGTTGGGAGGGTCGCAGGGCCGCGTAACCAGTCGTCACTCACCCCCACTCTATACAATATGTTTCCAGCGATCTCCACCATTATCAGCCCACAAACACCACAAACACCAATTACCATAAACCCTTTGAACTCAATTGAATCATCTGAAACAATCAAACACTCAATGTCAACTAAATCAAGTAAAAATCACCCCATTACTGTTTTTTCTCAGCCCCAATTGCCACCCTAATTGCCTGCGGTACCGCCCCTGCCCTCGCACATTAATATGCCGGTGAGAAAAACCCACTCCCCTCCCATATCTCCCTTGTACCAGGCGGCCTTTGATCACCGCCAATTCCAAGCGATACAGCGGTTTCTGGCTTAAACCCAATCCCCCCTGCGAGAAGCCTGCCGCCCAATGTACCCTGAGCCCACCGTGCTGGAGCTCTTCCGCGAGCTCATTGGCCTCGTGGTGTACGAGCTCCTCAACTTGTTCTTCTGGCTGATCGTCGTCACCTACCTCCGTGAGTTCCGCGTCCGGGGCCTGTTTAACGTCCCCAAAGATGGGCCCGTCATCTTTGTCATTGCCCCGCACCACTCCCAGTTCTTCGACGGCGCCGTGGTGATGACGACGATCCGCGAGACGGGGAGGCGCCCGGCGTTTATCATCGCCAACAAGCTGTACCAGCTTAAGTTTATTGGCGGGTTGGCAAAGTTGATGCAGGCCATCCCCGTGGAACGTGCCCAGGACGTGATGAAGCCGCAACTGGGTAAGATCCGCGTCGACCCCCATGACCCTTATAAATTGATTGGTGAAGGTACCAAGTTCACTCACGACGTTGAAGTCAAGGGGCTTATCGGCCTCCCTGGAGGCCTGGGCACCGCATCAGTGGAGTCAATTGAGGACGACACTCACCTTACTTTACGCAAACCGTTCACTAACCTGAACCCTAAACTCCAGGCTAAAGCCGATTTATTATTGGCTGAGGGTACCCTGTACAAAGCTGCCCCTCATATTGATAACCACCAAGTGTTTGAGAATGTCTTTAAACACTTGGCTCAGGGGAAAACCCTCGGGATCTTCCCTGAAGGCGGGTCCCATGACCGACCCGATTTACTCCCCTTAAAACCCGGGGTGGCAATTATGGCGTTGGGGACAGTGGCCACTCAATTACAAGCGGGAATCACTAACCCTAAACCAGTGAAGATCGTCCCTATGGGGTTAAACTACTTCCACGCCCATAAGTTTAGACTGCGGGCCGTGGTTGAATTCGGCACTCCCATCACCGTTACCAAGGAGATGGCCGAAGACTATATCCTTAATCTGAGAGATACCACCTCCAAGCTTCTCTCCCAGATCACCTACGCGATGAAGGAAGTGGTGGTGGCGTGTAAGGACTACGACACGTTGGTGGCCCTCCAAGCGGCGAGACGCCTCTTTACGCTGGCGCAACGGGAACTGATCCCGTTACCGTTAGTCATGGAGATGAACCGCCGCTTAATTAGAGGTTATGAAGAGCACGCCGACGAGCCCGACGTCATCAAATTGAAGCGTGACGTCATCGCCTACAACAAACGATTGATGCGGTTAGGTCTCCACGACCACCAGGTGGAGCTGTTGACGGAAACCAATAAGATTGCTACGCTTGCAAACTTGATCGGCCGGTTTATCAAGTTCTTCACTTTTGCCTCGTTGTGTATGCCCGGCACCATCATGTTTGCCCCCGTGTTTATTTTGGGCAAGATCATCTCCCAACGCAAAGCGCGCCAGGCGCTCGCGGCGCTGACGGTGAAGATCAAAGCCAACGACGTCATTGCCACGTGGAAGGTGCTCGTAGCGCTTGGGGTGGCGCCGATCCTCTACGTGTTCTACCTGGTGATCGGGTGCTACATCATCAGTCTCTACCATATTGAGCCGTTGGCGCTGTGTCCTACCGTCGTCCAGTTCGTGGTGTGCTACGCTTTTGCCCTTTTGATCACGTACTCGCTGCTCCGGTTCGGCGAGGTCGGTGTGGACTACTACAAGTCGCTCGCGCCGCTTTTCATCCTGCTTGTGCTGAGCTCGTTTGGCACCAAGATCATCACCAATCTCCAGCGGGACCGGCGCAATCTCCTGGACCAAGTCCAGCTGTTTGTCGCCAAATACGGCCCCGATATGTTCGACGACTTTGACCAGTTCTATCGCGAATATAACGGCGTCAGCGACTATGAGGTGGTGGCAAAGCCCCGCCCGTCACCGTCAGACACGCTGTTGCGGACCCATCTCACTGGTAGCGCCAACGCCTTTGGCTTGGACAACTTGTCCGATGTACAAATCTGGTCGAATCCAGCACCTAAAGATGACGACTCCGATGATGTTGACGAAGCGCTGACGCCGGAAGCGGCGCTGGTCACGGGCAAAGACCACCACCACCAATTGGCTAATGGCGGTGATGGCGACGACGAAGAGCTGAACTTGCGCCGCCGGATCAACAAGCACCACGACATGATCACCAACAGCATGACTTATTATTCTTAAAAGATGAGCTAATGAGCGATGAGCGAATTTGTGGGGCATCGGCTCGTCGGTGTCGATGACATCATAGGCAATATATAGCGCGGCTCACACTGTGAGAAATGCATGCGGAACACAAGCGCATAGAAAAAAAAAGAAACGCGGAGGCACCCGATCCGCGGGGCGAAATTGTCCTATCGCGGCAGGAGGAGGGCGCGGTTTTCTAGAACGCTGTTCGGGTGATGCCCCATTGACTCCGGATGACTCAGTAAAGCAACGTCGCCCGACACCCAAGCGCAATCAGCCGAGCTCGTCGGAATTCACCAACACCGACTAATGAAATCAGTAGCACATCGATAATGGTTAGTAATCGGCCCATATTAATGAACACGTAAGCACCCTAGATGTCTCATTAGTCAGGCGGGCGGTTGTTGTTCGTTGGGTGGGTAGTCAGCTATCAGTGGCATTGCTTTTTGTGTGACGCACTATCCGGTCATACGTACCGGCAACGCCACCGATACCGCACTGGCGTTGCCACCGGGGTATTTATAGTGAGAGCGCACCGACACACCTAAAAACAACATCCAAACCATGAAGTGCCACGTGAGATTAAACACCGAAACCACCGTCACCGTCGACCTGCTGGCACTGGCCACCGTCGGCGACTTGAAGGGCCTCATCTCCGACACCGTCGACACATTGCCCCCCCAGTTTAAGTTGATCCACAACGGCAAGAAGTTGGACGACGACGACGCCGTCCCCCACGACGAAGAAGGCGAAGTCACTTTAATCTTGATGGGTGAAGAGGAGAAGAAGCGCAAAAAGAAGGGCAAGTGCCACTACGGCACCTGTCTGCTGGCGGCGTTGCGGATGATCGGCGACTGCCTGCACTGCCACGGCAAGTTCTGCGCCAAGCACCGCTTGTTGGAGGACCACTTGTGTGTCGGGTTGCAACACTGCAAGCAGCTGGCCCACGAGCAGAACGCGATGAAGTTGCACCGGGAGCTGACGATGGCGGCGCCGAGAGTTTAATGACCCCATGATAGACACGAATAATGATAGACCCATGAAATACACACGCCACGATAGATCTGACTGTAAGCACTGAACTTTGAGTTATTGGCCTATTTTGTCATCGCTTTGCTTGGCTCGGGTATGGCCGCAATCACGCCACCAACACCGACGCCTTAAAATCATAGAAATTAAACTGGTATGTTAAATAGGATAATAGAGATGGAAACTAAGCAATAATTACTAGTAGATTTAATTGTAATGAATTATGGCCAAGACTTGTATGCTCTCCATTTCACATGATATATGCCTCCACATTATCAGTGATCGCATCCTATCTTCAATGAAATCATCACACACAAATTTGGCTACAATCCTTCAAATTCTAGCACAATCCAATCCATTACAAATAAATTGATAATGGCGTGACTTTTTCACACCTTTTACACCAAAAATACCTTCGACGCCATTCTACCCACCACCGGTGCTTTAGTCGCCTGGCCCCCGCACCAGGGCGGAAAAATTTGATGGGTGCGGCCAGGTACTTGTCCACCATTCACTCGCAAATCCTCGTGGCGGCAGGAGTTGTCCTCGTATCACTAATACTCTATAACCGACTGCGGGTGATGAAGCGTTTCGGGAAAAAGCCCAAGCGGCTCCAGAAGTTTGCCCTCGCCAACGGCGGCTACATCGGCGGCATCACCAACGACGGCAACACCTGCTTCATGAACTCCGTCATCCAGCTGTTGGCGCTGCTGACCGAGTTGGCCAAGTTCATCGACAAGTACGTGGCGCTGGACGTGACTGACGAACGCATGATCAGGGCCCTGCCCTACGCCTTCACCATGGCGCTCAAAAACTTGCTCACTAAAATCAACGGCCAGTACGGCCTGAGAGGCAAGGAATTTACGACGAAGCTGTTGCTCCAGAAGATGCCTAATGGCCCTAAACAAAACTTCTTCTTGGGCTACAACCAGGAAGACGCCCAGGAGTTTTATCAGTTGGTGATGGACTTGTTGGAAAACGAATACAAAAAGACGATGAAGCTGAGGATACTGACGCCTGACCCCGAAGAGAAACCACTGCCGTTCATCAACACCGCCGACTTGGCCGAAGTGGTGATGGGGACGTCGAAATTGGGCCAATTGGGTGACGTCTACGTTCCCGCGGCCCACGTCGACCCTAACTTGGAAGACGCTGAGGGTAAAGCCCAGCGGCTCGAGCTCATCACTCCTGTCGACGGTGTCCAGACTGAACGTATCGGGTGTATGGTTTGTGGTGAAGTCGGCGGTATCCGCTACCTGGTGATCCTGGGATTGCTGCTTAACTTACCGCTGAGTCGCATGACTCGCGGCTTCACCATCGAAGAGTTGTTAAACACCTGGATCGAGCCCGAAATCATCGACGAAGTCAACTGTAACCGCTGTGGTCTCAACCAGACCCGCGAGTTCTTGGCGGAAAAGGTGCTGCTGACAGACAACGCCGACATCGCCGATAAGTTCCAGCAGCGGCTCGACGAGATCGACAGCGAGCTCGCCAAACACACCGTCAGCGACGAGGCGTTTGAGCGGTTGCTGATCAAAAACATGTTGAAGAAGAGCCGCAAGCAGAAGCAGCTGTTCCTCACCCGGCCGCCGCCGTTCCTCTGCATGCACATCAACCGGCTGGTATTCGACCCCAACACTTACATGATGATGAAGAACACCGCTAACGTGTCGTTCCCGGCAGTGCTTGACTTACTGGCGTACGTTGTCGAACCTGAAGACATAAATATGGACGCCCGTAAACCGTTCAGACGCCAAGACGAGCCGACACCCGTGGTGAAGGAGACTATCGGCGTCCCGGAAAAGACTGAGGATGTTGGCGAACTGACAGCTGAACTGACAGCAGAGCTGACAACAGAGCCGACACAGGAAAAGGCCGAACCCACAAAGCCGGCGAAACCAGTATCCAAGCTCACCCAGGCGTTCGGCGCCGAGCTCACCCCGAGCCAGCTTGGTCTGGCCATCACTAACGAGCTCAACGAAGACCACCCTCGCAAGCACTTGTTGTACCACTTGAAGGCGGTGATTGTTCACTACGGCACCCACAACTACGGCCACTACATCTGCTACCGCAAGTACCGCGGCACCTGGTGGCGCGTCAGTGACGAGCTGGTGTACGTGGTGACGGAGCAGGAAGTGTTGGAGGGCCACGGCACCTTCATGTTGTTCTACGAGTACGACGACGGCCACCACGAAGTGTACCAGCCGGTGCTGGACTCCGAAGGGGAAGAGAACGACAACGACGGCGACGACGACATGTTGCTGAAGCTGGCGCCGACGACACTGACGACACAGTACCTGTGGAACACGACGCTGCCGTTCCAGCGGCTCACGCCGATGACACCGATGACGCCGTTGACGCCGAAGCTGGAGGAAGACAAACCCGACGAGGTGAATGTCGAGGAAGACCGGGCTCACCTTTAAGTCCCTAGGGAGGACGCTCCAGGCTTATATTCATTCATAATAAACCCAACAGCCACGGTACACATTTTGTAAGTCTTGATTACCTCCTTACAAGTAATCTTCTGTTGCCACTGCATTACAAAAATCATAATGTCACAGGCGACGAAATCGGCATCGTGGACCCACGTAGTTTTACCAAACTTTAGTAAAGTGAAGCCCATCAATGACTTTTGAATTTTGAATGCTTATTAGCTTCGCTAGCATCTAAGCAAGATATGTCACCAATGGTCAAATGGCGTTGGTGCTGAAAGCTATCCGAAATTTTACTGGCATTTCCCTCCTATTCAAGTGCTTTGTGATGGTTTTACTAGATTTAAATTTTAAGAATAACATAACAAATTACCACAATTAATAAATTCATTAATACATGTTCATTAGTTATATGAGAATCACTCAATAGATGATGGTTCGCCTTCGATTGTAATAAGACACGATCTTCATACCCGTAAATCGCAGGAGGTTAAACAAGAAGAAATCACACTAGTTCGCGCAGCATTCGTCTCCCATTGTTGTCCTCAAGAAATGGTACCTTTTCTGTTAACCTACCTTGCTCATTAGTGAGTTGTCCTCTGGCGAACAGCCATGCTTTGATCAAAATGGTGAGCTTTGGCTGCTGTCGCAAGGGTAATATGAAATCCCCCGTCATCATCATCATGTAAGCGTTACCATTCTCACGGGTACGACTAATCAACTTGAGTGAATTAATAGTCAAGAATTCTCTCAGCCAAACTTCGTCAATCACGCTTGAGGGCACCACCGCGGCAATCTCTTCCAGCATCTGTACGTCGTGAGGAAGGGCAGTCATGTGGACTTCATAAATTTTAAACATTTTTCCTTTAGATTGAGGCGAGAAAAAGGCTTTCATTCCAATTGATTTGCCACTTTCATCCACGACTTTCAATATTCCAGTTCCTTCCACAATCATCTCTCCCCATGGAGCTTGCCATGTCCAGGGCTCTTCCTCCTTGAACTGGGTTAACAACAGCCGCAGCACCACCACAGCTATTTGCATTTCATCAAACTTTGCGTTCCAAGGCACATGAGCAAGAGGGCTTTTTGATAGGATCAAATCATAAATCACCCCCATCGTAGTCTTATATACCGCAAGTATGATGTGAGAACGAAGTCGTTGTTTGTTTATCTTGCCAACTGTAATAGGTGCATCTTTCAATAATCCTTCGTAAATCGACTCCACTGTGTCTCGCATAACGTTTATGCTTGCGTCAAGATTGGTAAAGGGGTATTTGCGGAACTTATCAAAATTCTCACCGATAATGTGGGCAGCCGTTATTGCATATGACACGGAATATAATCCAGTCTTTTCGATGAAATTTATAACGTACTTCATGAGTGCATTACCATTGTTGGTCACGCGGCTGGATATAGATTGAAGGTAACCCTTAAGGGTTTTCTGGGTATCATTAACGGGAGCCGAGATAATTGGTACGTTCGATTTGAGTTCTTTAATTTCATCGAGGAACTTGAGTATTTCCAATTTGGACTTGGTAATCGGCTTGTAACGTTTCCACTCTTCGGCAACGGTACTGTTACCCTGGAACATTTCCAAAGGAAGAACACTGAATACCCCCGCACCAAGATCCTTCAAGTATTGGGATTTCCAGGCAAAAAATTCATCGTGAGTGGTGTAAATCAAAGTCGGAAGAATATTCAAAAGTAACATTATCATACCCCGAACCGTATCTCTTTCAATCTCAATGTAAAGGTTGGATGTGATCATGTACCTATCCTTTGAATTTTCAAAGCTGCCAAGGATCAAATTGAGTCGTTCATTCTTGATGGGAAACAATTTAAGGACGATGTCAAAAGCAGCAAAAGGTTCCAAGTAGTCCACAAAGTGGTATATCGACTTGAGCAATTGCAGAACCCTAAAGAGACTCTCAGCGTTATTGGCCGCGTAGATGTACTCGTTGACGTTAGCTAAAAGCGTCTCTTTCACCTCCAAGAAAATGTGGGTAGCCTCAATTTTGGCCAAATTGACTTGTGCCGGGTCATCCAATTCAATTGAAATTGATGAGACCGTAATGGGAAGCACCTGAGTGATCGTTTGCTTTAAGGAAGCATTGAACTGTTGGTGTTTCCCATCAATATCGGCTTGGTATGCAGCGTATTTCAAACGCGGTAAACTGAGGAGGAAATCAAACAATGGCTTGATCAGAGGCACTATGGTCACATCAACATACCCTGTTTCAGCGCCCGCAGCCTGAAGCGTCCATTCAGTTGAAGGACCAAGCATTGCTTCGAGTAGACTACCAGATTTGGTGGTCACAGCTACTAGTTATACCCCTCATCAACGAGTGTCGGTGGCACTGTCGGTAGCAGTGTCGAATCAGACATAAGTTTTCGAAAAGAGTCTGTCAGGAAGCTCGAACATGCTGGTAGAGCAGCAGCACTTGGCAATATAGAACAACCAGGACCAGAACATCATCGAGATTCTAGATACTCACGCAAATAATCAACAACACCATTGTATAGTGGTGAATCATTCTAGACTCAATTGCTAGCTTCCAACATCAACTTTCTAATCGCATATGTGTGGATCTCGTAGAGGGTAATTGCGCGCGGCTTTATGATGCTTGACAGAAGAGGTGTGATTCACAAAAAGCCAGATGAATCTTTAGATAGAATGAAAGTTGGGATATGTATAATTGACCAAGAAACTGTAAATCATTGTAAAATTGGCCTAATCGTAAGCACCAGTATAAGACCCGATTTAATTGTGTAGTGTAGAGAAACGTAAAAGGTAAGACACCTATGCCACCAATTGAAACATATTCGCCAACTATACTCGAGTTCTGATACCCCAAGTGGTAGATGGATCTAGTAAACGTCCACGGGCAGACGTCTTAACTCCAGTCACAAGAATTTAGTGATTTCAAAAATGGCCTTGCAACCAAATTCGACATCTTGAACAGGTGCTGATCATCTTGACTAGTACAGGCTTCAAATACCTTTATCAATCGCAATGGTTTGACATCAGTAAGATTATCTTGTTGAATGGGAAAACGTAACGCACTTCACGAATTAGAATTGTCCACCAATATACTAATCCCGAAACTAGGCAGTTGAAAAGCCGAGCAGATGATATGGGCAAACATGGCAGCAACAATAGCCATCAATAATTATTTCCTCTCCGTGTCACTAACGTTCCTCCAATAACGTTACTTTACCAAAGACAGTGCTCATGATATCGCCCTATCGTTGGGTGAAGATCGATCTCAAATAGAATTTGAAAATAACACTTGATTTGACTGGTATAACGGCAGTTTTGAATCGGTTCAAACATTCGTGGGTGTGAAACTGGCGATCAATTAGACGGAGCAACCACACTTGTACATCTCTGGATCATTGGGCGAAGAATCTCAAGGAAGGCATCGATTTGTCTCTCGTTTCATCATCTCCCGTTCCAGCAGCAAAATATCAACAACAAGGGAAAGGTTTCACATTAGATAGTGAGATTCCCCATCTTAACTTGATCACTCGTATCGATTGCTGTTTGTTTCGGTGCGCGATCAGATCAGAGACATCAAGTCAGCTACTAGTCGTTTTGCTGTAGCAGAAGATGGATCATTTAGCATGGTAGAGACATTTCGAAGTTCTAGGAACTACTTCAAAACTCTAGTCTAGTTATCCGATACTGATTTGCCACCGAATTTCTACTACCTCTCCTCGCACGCCAGCATTTACGAGCCAGTACAAACTGTTCACAACCCACTGATAAATCGACATTCTCCACTAGTTCCTATAATTTCTCCTCTTTAAAATCCTTGTTCCCTCTATCTCTGAGACCTGCCTCCCTCCACGGACACGCTAGCGGAAAGCGTCGACGCGCGAACTTTTCACCCACAACCACACGATATGGGTAAGTTGACCGACGCCATGGCCTGGCATTCTATACACCAGCGACAGTACTAACAAGTATAGGGATCCCCAAGTTTTTCCGGTTTATCTCCGAGCGGTGGCCGCTCATCTCCCAGGTGGTCGACCTGGAACACATCCCCGAGTTCGACAACTTGTACTTGGACATGAACCTGATTCTCCACACGTGCACCCACGCCAACGACGGCGAGTTGCTGCGGATGACCGACGACCAGATGTACGCGGCGATCTTCCGCTACATCGAGCACTTGTTCGAGATCATCAAGCCCCGCCAGGTGTTCTACATGGCGATCGACGGCGTCGCCCCGCGCGCCAAGATGAACCAGCAGCGGGCGCGGCGGTTCCGTACCGCTTACGAGAACGAGCAGTTGTTGAAGAAGGCCATCGAGCTGGGCGAACCGGTGCCCAAAGAGGACCCTTTTGACAGTAATTGTATCACCCCGGGGACCGAGTTTATGGCCAAGCTCAGCGACAACCTCAAATACTTCATCCACAAAAAGATCTCCGAGGACAGCAATTGGTCGTCGATCGAGGTCATCTTGCTGGGACACGAGGTGCCAGGGGAAGGGGAACATAAGATCATGGAATACATCCGTACCATGCGGTCACAGCCGGGGTACGACCCCAACGTGCGCCACTGCATCTACGGGTTGGACGCCGACTTGATCATGTTGGGGCTCGTCCTGCACGACCCCCATTTCGCTTTACTTCGGGAAGAAGTCACGTTTGGCCCCCAACGGACGAAAGCCCGCACCCTTAACGACCAGAAATTCTATCTTTTGCACTTGAGTCTTGTCCGTGAGTACTTGGAACTCGAGTTTGCCACGTTAGAAAACGAACTCACGTTTGAGTACTCGTTTGAGCGCATTTTGGATGACTTTATTTTGATCATGTACGTGATCGGTAATGACTTTTTGCCCCATTTGCCCGATTTACACATCAACAAGGGGGCGTTCCCGGTGTTGATCGCCACATTCAAACAGTTGTTGCAGCTGGCTGACGGTTACATCAACGAGCTGGGTACCATCAACCTCCGCCGGCTTGGCCTCTGGCTCCAGTATTTGCTGGAGTTCGAATTGGAAAACTTCGAAAAGTCCGACGTCGATGTTGAATGGTTCAATCAGCAGCTTCAAACCATTTCCCTCCAGGGTGAACGTGACCGTCAACGTATCGGTAAGATCATCTTGCTTAAGGACCAGAAAAAGCTTGTTGGGTACGTCAAGCCGTGGCTCACGGCCCAAGCGGCCAAGCCCGTGTCTCAGCTCCACGCCGAGGCTGATGCCGGTGAAACTCCTGAACTCTCGTTGGCAGGGATCGACGTCACCGCTAACCTCGATTTTGTCAAGGAACTTTGCCTTAAAACCAATACCTTGGTTGTCCATCTGCAACTGACAGATACCTGGACCATGCGTTATGATGTTGACGGGATCAACCCCCACGAAACCGAGGAAGAGCACCAGCAACGGCTCCAAGATGTGCGCTCAACGATTAAGCAATACCAGCTGGCTATTATCGTGGAAACTGAAGAGGTGATGCAGCAGAAAAAGGATCTTTATAACGAAAAGTTCGTTAGATGGAAGGACAAGTACTACAAGGATAAGCTTGGGTTCTCGATCAATGACACCGACAAGATGACTGAACTTACCGAACACTACGTCGAAGGTTTGCAGTGGGTGCTCTACTACTACTACCGCGGGTGTCCCCTGTGGAACTGGTACTACCGCTACCACTACGCCCCTCGTATCTCCGATATCCACTTGGGGCTCGACGCCCTCATCGCCCTGGGCAAGCCCATCACTTTTGACAAGCTGCACCCGTTCAAGCCTTTTGAACAGTTGATGGCGGTGTTGCCGGCACGGCTGAAAGCGTTGATGCCTGTGGTTTACCGCCCGCTTATGACTGAAGAAACCTCGCCGATCAAGCTGTTCTACCCCGACGAAGTTGCCGTCGACATGAACGGCAAAACGGCGCTGTGGGAAGCGGTGGTGCTTTTGGATTTCGTCGATGAGAATAAGCTCTTGAGCTATTTGAAGCCCGTGGAACAGAAATTGCTGCCTGAGGAAACCAAGCGTAATCTGTTCGGTCAACCGATTTTGTTCTGCCACAATCCGCAGATCGATAACGTCCACCCGCTGCCCTTGCCCGGTCACTTCGCTGATTTGGAACACGACCAGTGTTATGAAAAAGTGTTTGAATTGCCGCCAGTGTCGGGTGAAGCGACCTTGGGACCGGTGGAAGGCGCCTTCAAGGGTACTCAGTTGAAGGCTGGGTTCCCCACTTTGGAAACGGTGCCGTTCGCGTCGAAGTTGGCGCAAAATGAAACTAAGGTGTTCAACTTCCCGCTGAAACAAGAACTGATGGTGTTGGAAGTAGACAACGTGTGGGAAGATATGCTGACGTCGCAGTTTGCCCAAGCATTTGTCGGCAAGTTGGTGTACTCTCGCTGGCCTTTCCTTAGAGAAGGGCGCGTGGTGGAAGTGGTCACCGCTGATAAGACCTGGTTGCGGGCTCAGGGGAATGTTCATAGCCGTGATAATCTGCCTGACGAAACTAAACAGTTCAAGCGCGATGTTAGCGACTTGAAGGGTGAGTTCGCCAACCGGTACGCTGTGTACTTCAAGCAACCGTTCGACACGTTGGTGAAGATTCAGCCGGTCACGGGTTTGATCCGTACGCCTAAGGGGGCTTACGTGAAGACCTTCGCTAAAGAACTGGAAGCATTCCCGTTACAATTGGTCGTCAAGGAAGTGGTGAATAAGGACGAACGGTACAAGCTGCGTCCTCCCGTGCCCATCGAAACTGAATTCCCCGTTAATTCGCAAGTGGTGTTTATGGGTGACTACGGGTACGGTGCCCCCACCACCATTTTGGGCTACAACCAGGAACACACCACCCTCAGTGTGCGTATTGCTAAGATCCCTCATGGTAACGAACCTAACATCGGTAAGGTTCGCGCCAATAAGGAACACCGCGAGTTTGTCTACCACCCGCTGTTTGAAGTGGCTAAGCATTTGGGGCTCCACCCGCTTTTGCTTTCGCGTATCGCCTCGGTGTTCATGGTGATTGATGACTTAACCAACGCCACCAAGGTCAACATTGGTCTCGACATGAAGTACGAGCTGAAGCGGCAAAAGGTGTTGGGCTACACGCAAAAGAAGGAGCTGCTGAAGGTTTGGGAGTACCTGCCGTTGGCGATCGACTTGATCACCCGCTACCGGGCCCAGTACCCGAAGATGTTCACCCGGTTGACCAAGATCATCCTGGACCGGTCCGAGATCCGGGCGCTGATGCTCTTTGACAATGCCGATGAAGTCAGAGACGTGAAGAAATGGTTAGGTGCTGAACGGGCTAAGTTCCAGGTGGTGTCGCTTGAATCGCAGCTGTTGACCCTGTTCTCGTTCGAAGCCATCGAGCGGTACATGGAGCACTACGTGGCGATGCCTCAACCAGAAAACTCCCGTGACGTTCGTGGCGTCCCTCGCGAAGCGGTGTTGGATGCGCTGCTGCTGTTCCAGTTGTTGCTGCTGCAACGGTTTGCTCTTGGTGACCGGGTCATCTACGTCCAAGACCTGGGTAAAGTGCCCAACTTGCTGAAGGGTACGGTGGCGCTGATCATCACCCAGGGTGCCAAGACGCTGTTGGAGGTGATCTTTGATGTTCCGTTGTTGAATGGTGGCACTTATGGTGGTAAGCTTAAGACGAAGCGGGGGATGACCGTCGACCTGTCGCTTGTCCTCAACTTGCTGAACCCTCAGTTTGTGTACCACACCAAGGCCAGTAAGGCCAAGGCGCAAAAGAAGTCGACTAAGGGCCCCAACAGCCACCCCGTTCATCACCAAGCCAACCACCAAGGTGGTCACCCGGCGAAGCCTAACCACAACCAAGCTAAGGGTCCCGCTGCCGCTAAGCCTTCAAACAAAAAAGCTCAACCGCCAGCTCAAGGGAAGCCTCAGGCTAAGCCGAAGGCCGCGTCGCCTCCTCCTAATCCGGCGGAGAACGCGCAACAGTCGCATGAGCTTTTATCTATTCTCAAGGGTAAATCTAAGGATGAGCCTAAGGAAGAAGCTAAGGACAGCAACGCCAATGTGGCGGCGATGAAGCAGATCTACGGGCAAATCTACACCAACGTGATGAGTGAAGGTGGCCAGCCTCCGTTCATTCCTCCTCAAGGGGTGCCGCCTCAAGGGGTACCGCTTCCGGGCGTACCTCCTCAAGTGGTGCCGCCTCAAGGGGTGCCGATGTACTACCCTATGGGGTACCCTGCTGGTTTCCCTGGTGGTCCCGTCCCTCCTGCGTTCTACCCTCCCGTGCCTGGTCAACCTCAACCCGGTTTCCAACCTCCTCAAGGACAAGGGCAACCTCAGAACCAAGCTCCCGGTCAAGCTCCAGGCCACTCGAGCCAGTCTCGCGGCCGCGGCGGTCGGGGACGCGGTGGATTCCGTGGTAGAGGCAACGGTCGTGGTGGGCGTGGTGGACGTGGTGGGAGCCGGTCTAACCTGGCCACCCCCCGCGGCTCGCCTGCCCCTTCCGGCCCCGCTGCCACTGCTTGAAAGATCCCTTTAGAAATGATGTATATGACATGTACTATATCATAAACAATGCTGACAATGTATTGTAGTTTTCCCTGTGTTAGAGCATATTATCAAGAAAGTCGATTCTAAGTTCGACTACATTACTTTCGTGGCAAAATGATCTACTGGTGGGTGTATTGCATGATACCTTGAAAGTTGAATGAATGATCCCGCAATTTGTCTATGTTCGTTTTTTCAGGAGACGTAAGTTGTGACACTGAGCGAAAGATAATTCATTAAAGCGACGATTTTGATGAAGTTTGAGTGGCAGCATCAGTTTCGTAGTATTAATTTATACCATATGCATTCATAAAATGAAAAATTGATTTTGGCGATTTTAGTCATTGTGTTTGGTGTCTCCAAGCTTTCATGAGCTCTTCCTGGTCACGTGAGAGCTCAGTCAGTGACAAGCCTTCACCATCAATGTCCACTCACCAGGAAGTATTCTGATATATAAAAGTTAAACAAGCTCAACCTGATACTAATATCATTCATTGAGTTCGATTTCTTTGTACATTATTTCCCTTTCTTCAATAAATTGACAATAATCACATATACCCCACATACTCCTACTTTCCCCTTGATCGAAGGTTTAAATTGGTACTTTATATCACTCAGAATTAACCCCAAAAAATGACATAGTACTTGTAAAATTCATTTCACTTATCCTCCTTCTCATTGCTGGCTTGCTACCAAAGCCCATCATCTTAAAGGCGGTGCGCGGTTTTTGGGTGGCGCTTCACCATGTTCCGCTTACCACTTAGTGCCGGGCTCCGCGGGTCGTTGCGGGCGCCAATGCGGCCGTGGACGCTGTTACGGGCGTCTTTGGTGACTCCCTTGAAGCTGGCAAAGCTGCCAGTAGCTCCAATGATGGCTCCAGCCGCCAAGAGACAATTCCTGACCCAGCTGTGGGCGCGGGTCCGCAACACCTGGTACCAGTACAACAAGCACTACGGGCGGCCGACGCTGAAGTGGCAGAAGCTCTTGAAGCCGTTCTTGTTTACCGTGGGGTTCTGTGTCGCCACCACTTACGGGGTGCCTGTGGTGGTTAACGCCATCCCCGCGCTCCGGCGCCACCCGAAGCTGGTGGTGTACGGGATCATCGCCCTCAACGGGTTGGTGTTTCTTGCCTGGAGAGTGCCGCAATTGCTGCGTTTCCTTAAGCGCTACGGCCTCTTAGTCAAGGACAACGTGTACTCGGTGTGGTCGCTTTTGGGGCTGGCGTTCAGCCACCAGGAGCCGTTGCACATTTTGGTGAACATGATGGTGTTCGCGCTGTTTGGCACCACGTTGGCCCAGGTGATCGGCGCCCTGGACTTCTTGGTGATGTACTTGAACGCGTGTGTGGTGTCGCTGTTTGTGTCGCTCCTTGTGCCCACGGCGTTGGCGGCGTTCACCGGCGCTGCGGCCACGTTTGGCGTGGCGCTGTTGGGGGCGCTGGGGGCGGTGTTTGCCGTGGTGGGGATGTTCTCGTACTTGTTCCCCAAGGCCCCCATCGCTTTGTTCTTCATCCCCATCCCCGGTGGCGCCTGGTTTGCATTCCTCGCCACCGTGGGGTGGAACGTCGCCGGTGTGTTTGGTAAGTGGGGCAACTACGACTACGCCGCCCACTTGGGCGGGCTGGCCGTGGGCGTGTTCTACGGGTGGTGGTGGAAACAGAAACAACAGCTGGCCCGGGCGCAGCGCTTGATGTGGTTCTAGAGCCTCTTGTCTATAGTTAGGAATCGCTCGAATACGATTTTTTTTAAATTTATTCTTTCTTTCTCTGCTTACCATTGACGAATTGCTTCTTGATTTAGGCCTGCTTTAGTGGGGGATACGATTACCTAAGTGCTTACGGCACACAGATGCGATGCGAACTGGGTATACGGTCACACGACACTTACAGCAGCCCGCCCCTCCGCCGTGCCCGTAATCTTCTGCCCGATCACCCAAACGCACGGACAAATGCGGGCAGTAAGCTATGTTTAGTCACTTACCGGCAGCTTTGCCGCAAGTGGGGTACGCTGAGGGGCACTACTTACGATCGGCACCTTGCTTTTTTTTTTTTCGGTCTAGACCCTGGCCGCGGCTGGGGGTAAATTGTGGTGGAAGGGCACTGGCCGCCTTGAGGCGTGATGAGACCAACTAACCATTTAAGGATGTCTCGGGCCAGTGGGGGCGGTCTTCTGGGCACTTCGGCGAATCGGACAGGAACGCCGTATTGCTGTGGGATGTACGCTGCAAACGGCAAGTTACCCCAGAGGTGCGGCGGAATACGTCTTTATGGCGAGGCTTAGGTAGGCGCAATGTTTAGTGTTGACAACATGCTATTTTTAGAGGCAACCCCCAGCTTGAATTAAGTCTAATTATTGAATACTGAAAATCGGCGATTTAATTAAATCATTACCATAATTATGGTCCAAAGCTCTTCTTAAAGGTGGCTTGATTTTTCGCAACCGCTTTCTTTTTTTCTCCTGATCTCAATATCATCGCCGAGGCCGCTCGGAAATTCCCGATGTAATTGAAGTATGCACTTTACCTGAATTGGTGCACGATGGCATCATTTTGCTAGTGCAGGCAAACTACGACCGTTTAGTCTCGCGTATCCGATTGTGTCACCATTACGAGAACCAACTGTCAAGTACCACAGTTTCTCACCAATGGAAAGCTCGTTGTCTCCACCAGTACAATGAAGTATTGATGTCAAAAAGCGTATGTTTCGAAGTCCGGGGACTGCCGCTGCGCACCGTTGCCAAGACTTGGCACTTTACTCAGCTCGGTGCATCGGGCCGGTACAGTCACGGAGTCCTCCAAGACATCACACCACTCAGCCCAGTTTTTTTTTCAAGAAACCAGGTTTCAGCCAAGAGCCAAACGGTATATAAAACCAAGCAGTCCCCCCTCCAATTTTTCCTTTCTTCACAAAACACATACAAATCATGTACTTGCAATTGGTCTCCATCGCCGCCTACCTCGCCCTGGCCTCCGCGTTACTGTTAGACTTTGATGTCTATGCTGATGCTGGTGCCAAGGGCTTTGTTAAAAGAGACCTGGAAGAACTCCTGTTGCTGAACTCAGACTTGGCCTACGTCGTTGACGTCAACGGCCACAAGGTGCGCTTGGACACTTTCCGCTCGGACTTGCTTGTCATCACTGACCAGACTGAATGCATTCGTCGCAAGGGTATCCAGAACAACTGCAAGTCTGACGTCGACAACCTTGACCACTTCACTGCCAACCGCAGTGCGCCGGCGCTTGTGTGGCCTGGTCCCGACCAAGGGGGTATCTCCGTGGGCCAGTACGGTTCTGGTGACGTCAAGGTGGGTGACATCGAGGTGAAGGACTTTACCTACGCCTGGGCCCGCAAGACCACCGAGTCGCTTGGTGTGTTGGGTGTTGGTCTCCCTGAGAACGAGTCGACTAACCTCCACGAGAACGAAAACGACTACAAGGACGACGACAACAACAACAACCACAACCAGAACCACAACCAGAACCAGAACCAGAACCAAAACCAGAACCAGAACCAGAACAATCGCAACAACAAGCGTGACGACGACGACGACCATCGCTACATCTACGAAAACTTCCCCATGAAGTTGAAGGCTGACGGCAAGATCTCCAAGAACATGTTCGCCATCTGGCAGGACGGTAACTCGGGCAAGATCAAGTTCGGTGAAGGCGACAAGCTGAAGTACTCCGGCGACTTGACTGAGTTCTCGATGGCCAACTCTAACCGCAACGGCAGATACACTTACATGCCGCTTAAGAACATGCAATTGGACGGCCAGGACATCGTTCAGGGCAACCACAACCAGCACCAGAACCGCAGATCGGATGCGATTTTGGAGGCAGGGTCGGCGTACTCGTTGTTCCCTGGTGACATCGTGCTGTACTTGGGATGGAAGCTCACCGGCCAACGTGGCGGCAACTGGAACGAAGGGTTCGACTTTGATTGCTCGAAGAAGGACCAGACCGTCACCTTTGATTTCGGTTCCGTCAAGTACGACTTGAAGGTCGAGGACTTGATGCAACAAAAGGGGTCTCAGTGCCACATGCCGGTGTCGTGGTCGCAACGCAACGACGTCATCCTTGGTAACAACTTCCTCAAGAACTTCTACGTCGAAGTCGACCAGGAAGACCACAAGGTGAGAATTGCTAAGCGCCTGGACCTGGTGAGACTGAGCGCCGGCAGCAGTTCCGACTCTTCCGACTCTTCCGACACCGCTGCTCGTACCACTAATGGTGGTGCTAGTGCTACTGGTGACAGAGCCAACGCCGATGTCGAGGCCACCACCACCGCCACTCGCGACAACAACTCCCGCACCTTGGACTCGGCGTCGACGGTGACTTCGAGAACCACCTCTGCCTCGGGCTCGGCCGTCGCCGACGCCGCATCTGAGGATTCGGTGGCTAACGGCGCCACTCCCTTGGCTATGGGCTGGGGCGTTGCCGCCGTGGGCTTGTTGTTGCTCTGATTGCGCTTTCTATTTATATGATGTAACGTTACTAGTATTTACTTGAATATATTCGGCCGAAGAAATTGGAATCCTGTAGCTTCGTCAAATTATAATTTTACGAGAAAATAGGTTGGCTTAAATCGCTGACGAGTTCTGAGCCTTTATAAGCATCGAGGAGGCTTATAGAGTTAAAGTGTGAACGGCATTAATAAATTAGGAAAGTCCACAGGTAAAAACGCATCAGTGATTGCTCTCTCTCAATGGTCACTTAATTGTTCAATTAACCACCGGTAACCTTAGCTATAGAGTTGACACATAATTGACAGAAGGGGCTTAGGTGCTCGGTGGTGTAAAACCGTCAAGACGCGAGGGGGGAGGTTCGGAAAAACGGTTTGACGTGATCTACCTTCCCCTCGATTTGTGGGCGCGATGAGATAAAGCTTAAGTTGCGGTGAAAAATCGTCTGACATATTGAGCAATGACTAGAGTAGGTAGATCATCGACAAATGTACCTGTCCCCTGTGAGCCTGGGCCTTGTCTTTGCATTATAGTGGTCTCCAATCATTAATAATCATGCTGGGTACCGCTTAGACCTCGGTACAGATAGCAGTGGACGCCGGAGTGCTACCACTTTCAGTATTTGGCCGAAGGGTCCCTTGAAGTCGCACTATTACCGCTTTGGGAAGCGTTATGGCTGCGAAACCTTCTATATAAAAAGTGCGCACAATCAGCACCCCTTTCTATCAAACACCAACATGTCGTTACCCACCGAAATCCACCAAATCATCCTCAAAAACGCTCCCTTGAAGGACGTCAACCTCAAATTGGGCGAAGCCGACTCCACTTTCGAAATCGTCACCAAGCCCTTCAACGCTGACGACGTCAAGGAAGGCCAAGTGGTGGTCAAGCTGAAGCTCATTTCCAACGACCCTACGCAAAGAGGCTGGATCCAAAAGGGGTTGGACCCTCGCAGAATGTACGTGGCTCCCGTGCTCGAAGGCGACCGGATGATGGCCGTTGGTTTAGCCGAAGTCGTCCTCTCCAAGAACGACACCTATAAGGAAGGGGACCTTGTGCTCGCCATGGTGGGCTGGGGCGACTACGCCGTGCTTAACGCGGAACAGGTGAGACTGAAGATCAATGCCCAACCGGGTGTTCCCTTGCTGGCCTACTTGTCGGCGTTGGGGATGACTGGTTTGACTGCCTACTTCGGTACCATTAAGGTCGGTCAATTGCAAGCTGGCCAAACCATCATTGTCTCCGCTGCTTCCGGTGCTACCGGTCTGATGGTGGTGCAAGTGGCTAAGCACATTGTTGGCGCTAAGAGAGTGATTGGTTTCGCCGGCTCCGACGAAAAGTGTAAGCTCGTCGAACTGCTTGGTGCTGACAAGTGCATTAACTACAAGCTGGCCAGCGACTTGCGGGCTGAGCTTGACAAGGCGCTTGACGGCGAGTTTGCTGACGTCTACTACGACAACGTCGGCGGTGAGATCCTTGATCTCTGTTTGTCTCGTGTTAAGCAGTTCGGGCGTGTTGTCGCCTGTGGTGCTATTTCCGGTTACAACGACCACCTGAAGATGGCGGTGACTCGCTGGGGGGAAATCATCACCAACAGATTGACCGTTCAAGGTTTCATCGTGATGGACTTTGCTAAGGACTTCCCTGAAGGGTTGGCGGCGTTGGCCAAGGGTTTGATGGAAGGTAAGATCAAGGATGAACTGGAAGTGGTGGACATCAAGGGCGACTTGACTAAGATCCCCGAGGTGTGGCACCGTTTGTTCGACGGGAAGGGCCCCGGTAAGTTGATCACTAAGCCCTAAATTGAGTTAAGGGGAAGGCATTGAGGAACACGAAATTTTCATAGTCTAATATATCATCACGTATTTCTGATAGAAAGTGGCAATAAGTCCAACATCTACAAATTAATGAAGTAATGCTAGACCAACAACAAATTTTCGAATAAGTCAATCGTAGCAAAACCAATCACAACACGTATTTACGGGCCGTTTTTCGCAAATCTTCGAGTTAGCTATGGGAAGCGATTCCGCGCGCTTCTCGCCGACACGTCTGAAAAAGCTCCACGACGCGTTCCTCATAAGGAGACTCGCTTGGTGACAACACATGGCGATACCTGTGGAAATGCCTTAATACCTTTTCAAAACTCTGTTTGAATCATACCGACCTCCAATCATTACTGTGATCAATTCACTAATTGAGGAAACGTTGCTACCGTTGAAGTATAATGCCAAACAAGATGGCAAGGTCTATTTGTTGTTCATGTTGTTGAATTGAATTATGAAGTCACATGCATACATTAGATCTGAAAAACTACTTACTGGTTATACAGCCTACGACAGAAAACAAAAGCGGGCAGCAAACCATCAGGTGAATCACATCGTGGGGCACTGGCGGCGCAAGCTGTCATCGAAAGCCTGGGCGTCGGCTTTGGCAGCCACCGCAGCTTCATGTTCATCAAGGAGGTGGGAAGCTCTCAGCATATCCTCCAATGAGATGGTGGAGCGACTCACTCTTTCCACGTGCGAGTAACGTCCTACCTCCACTGTTACGTATTAAATCGCCCGAGAGTTGGGCACCACTGTGTCCAAGATGTTGTCGATGTATTCGAGGTCGTCAGTGGTGAGGTGCTCAAAGCTGTGGAAGACGTTGCGAACATTCGCCACAACGCTAGCCATCCGCCGGAAGATCTCCTCTCTGTCAATGTCATAAGCCTGGCCTTGCCGAATCTGGTAAAACGTTGAGGACATTGGGTCACATGCGTGCTCAAGGCCAGCTTGGCTTTCGAGGAACCTAATGGAAAGCTTGCCAGCGACGGCAAAGTCAAGACCTTCGGTCTTCATGAACACAAATTGGCTCAAGGCAGTAATTGTTTCCAAGAAGAAATCATGCACCGACACTCTGCGTCTATTTCGAATAGAAACCTGACGTTCCGGTTATAATCTGGCGGTCTTTGTCGTTGTTGAACCCCTACAAAATTTGCTGGAATTCGGGCGTGTCAATAACCGAAGACGTGGTGGTGGGCACGGCGGGGACAGCGGCAGGCAGTCCGTTGGTTCCTTCGAGGTTCAAACTGAGTAGGGTGGGAAGTGGTACAAGCGACCCTTTTATAATCCAGAATCAGGCCCCTTTAACCCCCACTCGAAAGTCTCGAATCCCACTTTTCGGCCCCCTGAAATGGGTTTTTTCTTGTACTTTCCTAGAATTTTGATTCGAGGGCACCAAACTGTCTGATCTGTCCACGCGTGAACTTAAATCAGAGACTTCCGACGTATTCTCATTGGTGGGATACCGTGGTCATGTCTGTCATGTTGCTTGAAGTTAAACGTTATTTACGGTGTCTGATACTTGCAAAGCACCCGCTCCCACCTCTTTAGACCGCAATTATGTTTGGGTCAACAAAAAATTCTATACAAGATCATCACCCCAATAGTCTTGTTCACGAGGTCTTCTTATGACGACTCAAAGTAAAAAATGATTTATACATTATATACCAATAACATATTCATTAATTTGGAGCGGGTGACTTAAGGTAAAGGTTGCGTCCAAGTTTCAAACTCAAAAAGCAGTTACTTTTTAGGTTTAACTCGGACGGTACCTCAGATTAGACCCCAATTTCATAAACTCAATTTCTCGCAGAGTGAGGAGCAACATGCTCAGTCATTGTATCTCCCCACCGAAAGATTTGAGCCCTCAAATCGGAACTGCATCAACGCTCTTTTATGATCGTATTGTTAAGCTTTCTCCATCTTGTTAATCTTAAGTTTGTGTAGCATTTCATAAATCTCCCACAATTGTTCTTGGGTAATCGTTGGCGCCTGGCCGTCCACCTTCAGCTCTGATGGCGGCTTTCTGCATTGTCCACGATGTTTCTTTTTGCAGTTGGTGCACTTGGGCTTCTTCTGCCGTTTCTTCCGTGACTTCGTCTGTTGTTTCGTCTGATCATTCGAAGCTTGCGCTTCGCTCACTTGTTTGTAATTATCATCCTTCACCAGATAGACCGGTTGTGTGTAGGTTTGTCCCAAATGCTCCCAATCTATCGACGAATGGCTATTTCTATACGCAAAGAGAACACTCTTGTTTGGCGTCCCATATTTCGCCACACTTCGAGTGTATGCCACATTGACATCCCCTTCCGCATCTATGCAATCATAGTACGTGTCCTTGTTCTCATCCCACCACTCTCTGAACGATTCGTAACATGGGAATCGGTAATCGTTCTTTTTGGGGCTTTCTTGAATTTCGGGTTTATTGTACTGTTCAACACACCATACAAGATACTTAATGAATCCTCTTTGAAAAAGCGTTGGATATATGTGCGCCCAATACTGCACGTTTTGGAAGAAGTTGATGGTCGATGCCCCATATTTTAAGATTTCAGTCATGGTTGCTGGAGGGTAACCGAGAAGAGCATCGATTTTCTCGTGGAGCTCTTGCATGTACACCTCGTAATACTGAAGTCTGATTGGGAACAGGACAGCCTCTCCTCGGCAATAGTCTTGAGGATAAGCATCAAACATTAGTTTCAGAGTATAGCGTACGTTATGCTCTATCTGATCATTCCGTACTTCTTTCCACCAGTCGTATAGCAGTTGAGTCGGGTTCTCTGCTTCACGGCCCATGGCGACGATAAGCATACACGCTTCCTTAATCACCCTTGAAGCTTCCACAAAGTATGCGTACATCATGTCGGCAGTTGTCCATTCATGAATATAACCAAAATATTCAATATGGTTCTTGAACACACTCATGACATTTTGTTTATCGAAGGGCGTGTAAAGCAAACAACTGTAGTGCCTCGCAAGATCATTTAATTTGTCCGCGATCCATATCATCGCTTTGGCTCTGTCTTCAGACCTCTGCTTCAACGGTAATCCAGGGTTTCTTTTGCTAGAGGTCTCACAGGCGGATACAAAATCCTCCAAGTTCCTCCTAGCCTCTTTTTTGTATAGAAAAATGCATTCAACGTCAAAGTATTCGCTGCTCACTTGCAAGTTAGTTGCTGCTCTGAGTTTGCTTCAAGCTGTAATTCCAATATCATGAGTATTATCCTTCAACTGACTTGAATCTCCCACATACTTGATGTTTATTTGGACTGATTCCTCCTCACATCAGGTCGCATGAGATTTTGGTTGGGAAGAGAGATAATCGCCTTGACTCTAGATTGAATTTCTGCTCTATTAGCTTGTTGTGGTGACCGGAGCTATTAATAATGACTTTTGGTCACCGCTTCAATTTCATCGTCCAGGCCTTCTCAAAGCCTATTTTGTAGACGTTTGCCATCACTCATCCCAACTTTGCACTTTTGACTTGGATAATTTGCTCTTGGCTATTCACACATACTTTCAGGTTGAATGTATATCGTAAATCTGTTCACTAGAGGCCTTTGGGATTTCTCGCCTTAGCCGCGCAGTCCATCGCGCGGCCGTGCGGCTCGTGGTGTCGGCGGGATGTATATAGCCATGATGTTAATTACGACGAGCATTGCTTTCGAAGTCCAATTGTTTTCGTATGTCTTCAGGTAGTTGGCGGAGTCTTTGGTGACGAACTATCAGTCACCATCACGGAGAGTACCTAAAACCTGTTCGATAGAAGACACCTGCGTGGCCCATCCATGTAATTTGTTCATCATGAAATAATTCGAAACCTTATCTTTCATGTATTTGACCACACCGTTCATCTGGGTCGATCTGAGTCTATATAAGTGATATACTATACTACGCAAGTATCATCCTGCACGGCCAATATCCTGTAAGGACTTGTTTCAAGAATCGTTTCAAAGTCACTTTTATGAAGGTGAATGAAAAGTAAACAAGCAATGTTTCACCAATTGTCACAGATACAAGATATATGAACAACAAGAAATTTTTGCAGCCGATTGATCAACATAGACCTTGAGCAAACCGGTGGTACACAGAAAATGTATGGGAGGCTAATGAATGGAGATCACAAAACATTCGAGGTATAATGAAGGTCACACTCAACATGGTGGAGTCCTGTGGCACGCGACCCCTCTGATACACTGTTTCAAGCATCAGCTGACACAAGGCGACATTCTAAAATTAAATCAATCGTAATTACAACTTTATTTACCGTTAGTGCATCTAGTGTTCAGCCGCCATGGAACTCTTAGCACACTTAGGCCTCCCCCTTGACCAAATAACGATGGAGGCTATTGCCACCAAAGCCTATGGATGGTGGGTACTCGTTTGCCTCGGAATACTCTGTGGACTTGTCCTGTTTCTTCGTTTCGTGTGTTTCGTCGTTGGTAGAGTTTTTCCACAAATGTCCAAGATGGAAGCTGTCGTGGCCCACCACTTTTGGCGTGTGGTGAGACAGATCAGCATGGTCAGTATCGATGGTGGCGACCTCCCCCACGGAGTGATTATCAGCAATCACCCCAGTCTTGTCGACTTTATCGTGTTGAGTCACAATTGTCCCCAATATTTCACCTGGTTCCATCTCTGGCACGTCCCTTCAGTGCATGGGATATGGAATATGGCTCGGGCCGATGAAAATTGGAAGCTTTCACCGATGGCTGAGTACCAGCTCAGCCCCCACGTCAAACCACCAATAGTACTTTTCCCAGAAGTAAACGTGTTCAGCGACAGTGCTCTCAGCGTCCAGAACTTATACAGCCAGCTGGCGTACGGGCCTCAGTACAGCAAAATTCTTCACCCGCGGTATATGGCGGTGGCTAACATGCAACGGATGGCGGGCGGCCACCGGTGGTATGATGCCACCATCAGGTACAACCAACCCACACCACCGACGCTCATCGATGCATTCACCAAGCCAATAACCGCCACGGTACGGTGGGAGCCGGTGGAGTTTGCTATTCGCGAAAAGCGGATGCGGCGACAGTTGGAGCAGATATGGCAGCGCAAGGATCAGCGGCTCTCTACAACGGAAGTAACGGAGGGATTAGGGTAGCGTTGTTAATACACACACTCGGCTTACTCGATGTGGGTCTTTTCCAATTCGGCAGCGATGTCGTCCACCGCCTGGTCTTGTTCCTCAAGCTTTCCGCCGAGATCGGCCTCGAGGGTGTCCAAGTCCATGTCTTCTTCCAACCGGTCAGCGTCGGTTTCGTCGTCGTCATCATCGTCGTCGTCGCTGTCGATCTCTTCAAGTTCGTCTAATTCGTCCAACTCACCGTCGCGGGCTTCAAGGGCTTCACGGAGCAGTTCCAGGTCAGCGTGGTCTTCCTCGAATTGGTTACCGTTAAGTTCAACCGTGGTCAACTTGGGTAATTCACCATCTTGCACTTTACGCAACAATTCCTTGAGGGCGTCTTCTCTCAATTCGTTGTATTGCAACTTGAGGGTGACGAGCGATTTGGGAAGGGCCTTGACCACCGCCAACGATCCTGCCGGCTTGAGCAAGGCGTCGTTCAAGTTGAGCTCAGTGAGCAGAGTCCACTTATCAGCCAAAGCTTCGGCGATGGCGTCGGCACCAGAGGCGGTGATGGTGTTGTCTTGCAAGTCCAACACCTCGAGGTTGCGAAGACGGGCCAGCATCCCCCGGATCAACTTCGCCACCCCGGCGGGACGAATCCCGTTCTGGTACAATCTCACCTCCTTAAGGTCGGCGTGGTTACGCAACCCCACCGCCAAGTGGTTGGTCAGACCGTTTTCCAACCGGTTGCGGCCACAGATGAACGTTTTAAGAGAGGGCTTGCCCTTGGCCTTCTTTTGCTCAGCCAACCGGAACAACAGCGTCCCGATACGGGCACCGACAAACGGACCCATGCCGTTGTTGGCGAGGATGAGGTGCTCCAACGTCACTGCCTGCGACAACCACCGTTCGATGGGGTCGAACGACTGGAGACCGAAGGCGTTGTCACTGAGATTGATGGTGGTCAAGTTGTCGAACTCAAGGAGAGCCGGCAACAAGTGGTCCAACGACTTGGGGATCTCGGTGTTGAGACGGCCGGTGTAGATGTCACTGAAGTCGATCTCAGTGACGGTGTGCTTGTGCTTGGCGAGGGCGGCCGCAAGCGCCTCCAGCGCCTCGACGCCGAGGGTGTTGCCCAGGAAGTCGATCTTGGTGACATTGGTGAGCTTCTCAAGCTCGTCACAGTACGGCTGGATGTGTTCCTTGGTGTCCAACTTGAGTTGTTTACCGGGGGAGTAGGTGGTCATGGTGTGAAGGTGGTGGATTTTCGCGCGATGATCGCTGAAGGGCTAATACCGGTGTGGCTAGTGATCCATGGAGCACACTTGAATCACAACCAGAAAAATATTGGTTTTATTGATTGACGATGAGTACTTGGGAGTCGATTGTGGAGAATTTTTGTTCGTGTGGCGGACCTTGAATTATTCACCACTAGCCCCTTCAACGATATTGATCCGAGGTTATTGAGGTTTGCAAGTGGTTTTTTTACGCTTCTACAAGTATTTGTCTCTGGTGTCGTGATCATTAACTATATACAATATCGTCGTTCACAATTGGGGCACCAACATGTCCATCAACGGCGATTGGATAAAGGCGACGCCGGCGGCGAAGAGGGCCACGTTCCAGCCCACGGTGAAGGCGGGGGTCTTGGTGAGTTGTTCAAACTTGGATTCCTTCGCGGGGGCACCGGCACCGGCGCCAGCAGCAGCAGCAAATCTCCCGGCCATGATTGATGTAAGCAGGGTTGGTGAGAGTGAAAAACTTTGCTGGGTGAGACTTGGTAGCGCCGTGGTTGTGGGCGCGTGGCTCGCGAGCGTTAGCGAACGAGCGAGCATCCGAACGTCAACCGAGAGCCGAGCCTGATCTGATCGATGCTACCACCGGGGCTCGCCACACGAAGCTATCACTGCTTCCATATGTTCCAACCAATTTTCACTCCATATCTCTCTGTTGTCCACGACCCTCACCGATTCGTTGTTTACTATGAGTAACGTTTCGCACTCGAATATTCACCTCTTGCCCAGATTTGCTGGCTTCGGGCGATGGAATCCGGGCCATTGCATTGATCAATTCCATCTCTCTCTTCTCTTAACCCTCTCACTCTTACCTCCTCTTCGACTTTTTCACTCTACCCCTTCCGAACTCCGAAATTTCCTCCGCCCCTCTCCCAAACGTCTCCGACACGTCTCCTTACCGCAAACGCTCACCGCGCCGTTAATACCGCACAACCATGGCATCCGTGGCGTCGGGGACTCTGCTACGGCCCGACAACGACCACCACCTCAAACACCGCCACCCGTCGCCCCCGATATCCGCCGATGTCGATGTCGACGATCTCGCCGACCGCACCCAGGCGCTCCGTCTCCACGAGCCCGGCAAATGGAGCCGGGTGATGGTGCAATACATCAACCCCCTCATTGTCCTTGCCATATCCGCCGCCGTCAGACTCTACCGCATCGACTTGGCGCCACTGGTGATGTGGGACGAGGCCCATTTCGGCAAATTCGGCCTGTACTACTTGAAGCGGGAATTCTACTTTGACGTACACCCCCCGCTCGGCAAGTTGCTTGTGGGGCTTAGTGGCTGGCTCTGTGGCTACCAGGGTCACTTCAAGTTTGATCTGGGCAACTCCTACGATGATACCATCAACTTTGTCGCTATGAGAGTGTTTAACTCGATGTTTGGTATCATGTGCGCTCCGGTGGCGTATAAGACAGCAGTGGCGATGGGGTATTCCCAGTGGACAGTGTGGCTTGTGCTGCTACTGGTGTGCTTTGAATTCCAGCTGCTTTGCCTTCTGAAGTTCATCCTTTTGGATCTGTTTCTTCTATTCTTCACCGTGACCACGTTCTACTGTCTTGTGCAAGTACACAATATGAGGGCCCAGAATAAGTTGTTGAAAGCAGCTGGCATTCGTTGGCTTGTGGCATCGGGGTTTTCTATTGGGTGTGTGTGCTCTGTTAAGTGGGTGGGGCTTTTCGTCACCGCATTGGTGGGACTCTATACAGTATACGACTTGATTCTTCGTACCTACGAGGTCCTCTCCTTACCTCAAGCGACTGAGCCAACCGCCACCGTGTCTGAATACAAGAGGATTGTGCCCAAAGAAAAACAACAGGTGCTGTCAGGGAACAACACCGATCGGGCGGTGTCATGGACGAACTACTTTAATCACTGGGGAGTACGCATTTTGACCCTCATTGTCCTTCCACTCATTATTTATTTGATACTGTTTAAGGTACACTTCATGGTGCTTAATCGACTGGGCTCGGGCGATGGCCTGACGCTGACGCTCTTCCAACTTAATCTTGAAGGAAATCAAGTGAGAATTGGCCCGCGGGACGTTGTTTATGGGTCGATGGTAACTCTTCGGTCGCAGGGGCTTCTGCCTAATTTGCTTCATTCTCACCAATCGCAATACCCTGAAGGTTCGAATCAGCAACAAATTACCACCTATGGGTTTCGCGACGGCAATAATGATTGGCTTTTTGAATTTCCCAACCTGAATAAGCTGGAACTCCAGTTCGCCAGTGACGAAGGTCTTGAACCGGCGATGTATGAGGAACGAATTCGTGACGGTAGCGTCGTTAGATTAGTCCACCGAGAGACGCTGAGAGTGCTCCGTGCCAACGATGTTCGGGCACCTGTGCTGAAACTGCACTTGGAAGTATCGTGCCATCACAGATACGACACCAATCTCCCTGATGGCATAGACTTTGATGCCGACGAGTGGGTGGTCGAACTCAAAGAGCTGATGCACAAGGACGAAGACCCTGACGTGCTCCATCCGATCCTGACTAGTTTCCGCCTCCGCAATCGCAACCTCGGTTGCTACTTAGCAACGACAGGGTTGCTGTACCCACTGTGGGGGTTCGGCCAAGGGGAAGTAGTGTGCCAGTACCTGCTCTTTTCTCGTGAAAAGAGTACATGGTGGAACATTGAAGACCACGCCAATGATCGATTACCCCGACCGGAAGAATACGTTCCTCCCAAGCCAAAGTTTTGGAAGGAGTTTGTTCTTCTCAATTACGCAATGATGGCACTGAACAATGCTCTCATTCCAGATCCGGATAAGTACGATCGTCTTGCGCTGAGATGGTGGCAATGGCCCACGGTCAATATTGGGCTTAGAATGGGACTGTGGCTGCGGTATAGTACTCGTTATTTTCTTATTGGCCACCCGTTCGTCACTCTATTCAGTACCCTATGTCTTGTTGTGTTCGCAATGTACACAGTGGTGAAACTTTTCCAATGGCGACGTCAGCAACGTTATATTAGTCCCACTGACCCTTGGTGGAACTCATTCTTGGTTCGAGGAATACTACCGTTTCTAGGCTGGTTCCTCAACTATTATCCTTTTTGTGTGATGGGTAGGGTTACCTACGTCCACCATTACGTGCCTGCTCAATACTTTGCTACTTTTGTCATGGCCTATGTTGTAAACGAAAGTGCCCAACTCTTCGGTCGCAGTCGACCCGTTGTGTATGGTATTGTGTATGCTGGAGTGGTGGTGGGGTTCTGGTATTACCGTCACTTGGTACTAGGGATGAAAGGGCCGACGGATAACTATGAGTACTTGCGCTTATTCGATTCATGGATGATTTAAGCGCGGAAACGTTTATATTGATGAACAATCTAAGGTAAATGAATCATCACAGTAGGAGATTTTGGGAATCCCTTTCTTTAACCGCCTTGAAGTCACGCTACATTGGGACATTTATGCTTCGGAGGCAATTGAGCGTAAATTGTGAGAGGGTAAATTTCATGTTCGAATTTCTCTGCACGTGTTTCATTTAATTTGATCAACACTGGGACCGTCGAGGCTGATAGGTCTGTGAAGCGAATGACGTGAATCTCCATCAAATATTGCCTGAAGTTTTAGAAAAAGAAAGGATTTGATTTGCTTCCTTCTGTCGTTATTAGGAGCATCCTTGATAAAAGTGGGCTGTATTTTTAAGCAAGGGGCCCGGCAACTATAGACGAATGGGCCTTTGGCTTACAGTCTATGGATGGCTGCTTGAATAAATCCCCATTGGTGGCATACGCTATCGAGGCGACGTCAAGATATCGACGTCATGAGGGGTTGGGTGGAGCACCTGTCGCCAGCTATGGACCCTGGACGCTCTAGAACGCCATTGGTCGGGCTGATGGGTGCCTAAGGTATTAAGCGTACATGATCAGAGAAATGCTTTACGGAGAAACGTGGGGTGCACCACCCACTGTGGCTCTAAACACGAACAAAAGATAAAATTCTCGCTTAGGCAAGCGATTATTTTTTGGAAGATACGTACCAAACGGTAGTACGAGGTGGTTGTAGACACTGTGCTCGTATATTTCTTTGAAAATCGCTATGTATCTCGTTTGACAGTCGGAGGTTCTCATCCTTGAACATGTCTCTTGCCTTTCAAGATTGGGAGACCCCGCTGCTTAAGCACCATGTCAGCAGCTTTCAATTTTGCGTCTTCTTCAGAACACGCTTTCACCACAGCTTCCACTCTGTTGTCGACGAGACAATGGACAATATGTGGGCACCAATAGCCGTCGCCCCTTCCAACAACTTCAAATCGCACCCGACCCAGTAAATGCTCTTCAAGTGAGCTGATGGCTTCTTTATAGACAAACTTCCACTCCAGGTTTCCTTCCATCTGCACAATTTTGGGGAAAAAAAGCTTCAAGAAAATTTCAAAAAGTCGATATTCGTATGGATAATGCAATTTGTAAGCATATCCGAAGTGAGCCCTAACCAAATCGCTATGAGGCTTCTCAGTTTCCAGAATAAATTTTACATGTTCTTGTTCTGGATTAACATCGAAAGGCAATCCATACATTCTCAGAATAATGGCGAGCTGCCTATTGCAAAGGAGGTACAGGCATCTTTGCGAGAGAGAGCTTTTGCTGGACCCTGGGTATAAGATTTGAAGAATCTTTGAAAGCACATACTCGGTCGATATATTGCCCGACCATTCGGCTCTTCGATTGTTTGGGTTTTCCAGATTGTCAATACCATCCACCATATGAGTTGCGGTTTTCATAATAAGCCGTTCATTACAGATATCGAACCATGGTACTGGTTTTGGAAAACGCATGATTCTCCACAACTTCGTGGTACCGTCCATTGACGCGCTAACAAAATAAACCTCATTAGCCATAGAGTCAGGGGAGACTGCTATCGCTCTCACCCTGCTGTCGTGACCCTTGAGTTGTAGTTGGACGTTTCCACTTTTCTGGTGAAAGAGGATAATCTCCCCGCTTTCGCAGCACAGCACAATCAATCCGCTATTTTGCGTCGCACAAACTGACAATGTAGGCGTCTTGTGTCCAACGAAGGCAACTTTACACTGCAGCGCTTGAGTGTTTCCGTAATTTTCAAGGTCCCATACTTTCAGAGTACTTCCAGAACACGAAAGAACATGCTTATCCCCATTAGTGAATCGAACGTTATAAACTGGTATGCCATTCGCGTCGCCAAAACATGCACACTCCCTATAAGAAGCATTCACTTTATACACCCTTACGGTACCATCCATCAAACCAGCGGCGATATATTTTTTACCAGTCAGTACAGCCACATGGTTAACTCCAGTGACAGTTGGCCATGAATTCTCAATCCCCAAAGTTAAGCGCCGAACCGTTATGGTATTGTTAGACAGTCCATACACTAACCGATTGCCATCAATAAAAGCAACCGAGAAATTGTGCTTGATATTGCTATCGCTGTATGGCATTTTCCAGATGAATTTGCTCTTGCTGTCGAGTTCGTTGTCTGAGAACTCCCAAACTTTGACCAGATCTCCACCCATGGCCAAATATTTGCCATCAGGCGAGAAGCTTATTGAACTGATTACGCCCGTGCTGCTTATTTTAGCAACTTGATTCCCAGAGTCCGCATTGAATACATAGGCATTGCCGTTGCATCCAAGGGCGTATAATCTACCGTTCGGCGAGAAATCCACGCTAAACGCATGTAGATTTTTGGTCTGCAAAAGTTGCACATGCATTTCACGTTTGAAAGCGGGGTTGGATACGGCGTAGAAGTTTTTCCGTCTCAACTCGTTTTGCGTAAATTCGGGATAACTACCAAAAGACGCTTTGAGGAACGGAGGGATGGGTTTAGTATCAGAAGCTTCTTGTGAACAGTCAACAACGTACACCGACAGGTTAGGAATTATCGGTAATGGGGCTTGTTCGGGGTTTGAAATCTCCTCAACCACTTCTAATAGACGCTTCACAATCCCATCCCAACCACCAATTTGGTCCCAATCCTTTTGCGAGGTACTTCCACTGGTAACGTTTTTAAACTGCTTGCCAAACAGAAAGTCATACTTTATATTGCTCTTAAAATTTCTCAACGCATTCAACGACTCGATATCACCATCGGGTACGTCAAACGCATCAATCAGTTGGTAAAGAGTTTGAAGCTGCAAGTACATACTTTCAGCCTTGTGTAATTGACTAAAATTGCCATCCACACTATCAGCAGCGGGCAAATCAGCGATGGAGTAAGGCACAGCGTTCGGGTAGGACACAGCGTTGGGGTAAGGCACAGCGCTTGGGCGGGGTTCAGCGGCCGTTTCCAAGTTCTGATGGCGTTCACCTTGATGTTTCTTTCTGGTACATTCGTTTGCCCCCGAAGGCGGTATCGGTCGTTTCATCGCACGAGCGCTTCGGTTGTTATCCATTGATCAGAGGAAATAAAGCCGTAACCAGTAAGCAAGAGTTAATACGGCTTCGGTTCAGATAAAAATGTAGCTGATAAGCAAACCCTACTCATATATATACTCCAAATCGCTACGCCTCAGTTAGAGTTCGGAATGCGGGGCTGAGGTAAGCGCCAAGAGTCTACAGCTTGGTGCCATAAAAATAAACTAATGGGAGAGATAAACATTGCAAAATATAGCTACTAGTTTGTATTTCGGAGCTAAACATTGCGTAAACCGGGAAAGCATAGGCCCAAGAGTTCCAACAAGAGGACGAAACCAGAGAGTGAGCAAACAGTAAGATGGGCAATATCTGGCTCTAACCGGTTCTAACCCTTGACCCTGCCGCGTCGTCAACCGCTTGCATATTTGATAAATTTGGCGTCCGCGTTGACGATAACGTACCCTTTGACAATGGTGTACCCTTTGACGATGGCGTCCGCGTTGACGATGGCGTCCGCGTTGACGATGGCGTCCGCGTTGACGATGGCGTCCGCGTTGACGATGGCGTCCGCGTTGACGATGGCGTCCGCGTTGACGATGGCGTCCGCGTTGACGATGGCGTCCGCGTTGACGATGGCGTCCGCGTTGACGATGGCGTCCGCGTTGACGATGGCGTCCGCGTTGACGATGGCGTCCGCGTTGACGATGGCGTCCGCGTTGACGATGGCGTCCGCGTTGACGATGGCGTCCGCGTTGACGATGGCGTCCGCGTTGACGATGGCGTCCGCGTTGACGATGGCGTCCGCGTTGACGATGGCGTCCGCGTTGACGATGGCGTCCGCGTTGACGATGGCGTCCGCGTTGACGATGGCGTCCGCGTTGACGATGGCGTCCGCGTTGACGATGGCGTCCGCGTTGACGATGGCGTCCGCGTTGACGATGGCGTCCGCGTTGACGATGGCGTCCGCGTTGACGATGGCGTCCGCGTTGACGATGGCGTCCGCGTTGACGATGGCGTCCGCGTTGACGATGGCGTCCGCGTTGACGATGGCGTCCGCGTTGACGATGGCGTCCGCGTTGACGATGGCGTCCGCGTTGACGATGGCGTCCGCGTTGACGATGGCGCGTTGACAATGGCGTACCCTTTGACGATGGCTTTCGCGTCTGCGTCGTTGCCGAGGGGATCGGCAAAGCGTTCTCGTCTTTCCCGCGGACGCGTCAACCAACAAAGCCCTCTCACGCATAGTGAATGATGTTTTGTCTCAACGAATGGCCGCTTGCCTCGACACAGCTAAGATAATCAGCGGGAACCCTGCCCTCTACTGCAATCTACTGCACTCGTGCATTAAAGATCTCGTAATCTTCACTTCATCATCACCGACACTGTAGGGGTGCATCGTCGAGGAGCGTTACCCGATGCAAAAGCCGATGCACCCAATTTGGTACAATATGTAATATAATATTATCGCGTGACAGTCATGAAAATGTGAATCGAATGTGCATTATGTTTCAAACCGCAAATTCAAACGTTGAAGACTTTTACTTATCATGTCAACACTATTTGAACAACCGTAACTGAACAACCATTAAGTTTCGATAACATTGCGTCATACAAATACTACTCGCAATACCATCTATTTGAACAAAACACCAACGAACACATGCCACTTTTAGTAAAACATACAAAATTCAACAGCCATCCACTGTGAAATTTTTACCGTTGTGAGCGATGGGGCCCGGTGCGACTAGGTGGGACGCGGGGGGCGCGAAGCTCTAGTCCCGTGACCTTCACCTATTTGCCCACTTGACTCCAAACAAGGACTGTAGCCCAGTACTAACGGCCACTACCGACACCCCTGCTTTACTACTTGCCCGGCCGCTTTCCTGGCCACACGCCCCTGATTTGGTTGGCTCTGGTCGGGTCGCCCCATATTGACGTCAGCGCCGATCCTTTTAGTGTTCTAGAAGACGTACGCACCCCAGATGCTTCGGACGACGTCCTGCTGGAGCACATGCAGGGCGTCGGGATAAAAGATGATGGAGGCGCACTCTGAACTTAAAATTTTACACACCACTTTGAGCGTGTCTGTCCCCATGCCTTGTGCATTTGAGGGCAGGCTCCTACGACTCAGGGGTGCCGACGATATGTGGACTTGCTGCTCTAGCGGTTGCTTGGCCTTACGAAGGTTGCAAGGCAGGAGCGGGGGGTTCTACATATTCTACATACGTAAATAGTTTAATAGATCCCAAACTCCTGTTGCAAAATAGTGTAGCCAAGTCCCATATTTCTTGGTCCAAAATTGGCATTCGCTCGAACTTTCATCGGTTCTCATTTCGTTGTTTGCGTCTTTTGAGTACTTCAAAGGGTCACTGTTTTTTTCAACAAAACTTGGCGATAAGCGTTATTTTCACTCAAGGGCAATGGGGGCTTAAGTCATGTGTGATTACATCCAATTCTCTTGATACTCATTTGTTATGATCACAACGACAGCGGCGCTTCTGTCAGGATATGGGCTTTAGGAGTGACGGTCATTCTCCGTGAATTAGGTGAAATTGTGTCTTCAGTCATCATCTAGGTGGAGTGAATCTCGCTAACTTCAACCCAATTCCACCAACAGCCATCGGGCGAGGGTAGAGATGACTGAAGATACAAATTGACATTCAAGCATATCTGTCCTCGTTCGTTAACAATGACCTACATCATCGGCTAATCCTGTACATAATATGTTGGGATTTAGGTCCCTGACCTGTCTCCAGTTGAGACGTGTTGCTGTTAACTGAGTC